AAGGCACGCGGCCCGGTCGACCGCTGCCGGAATATCCTTTACCCGTACGGCGATCGCACAGACGGATGTGTCGTGTAAAAGCAAGAATGCAGAAGCAAACGATTCCGGCTCGGCATTCACAATAAACGAGACGCCACCTAAAAGCACATGAGCGTCAGAAGATCCAGTGAAAATCGGGAGAAAAAAAGCAAACCCACCTTGGCGATATAATGTCACATTCTTTGACCGATGCTTTCCAACTTTGTTCAATCCCATATCTAGGAAGAAGGCTTCGAGCTGCCCAATCCGCGCCTCGTCGACTGCAAACTCCACGTACTCTATCCGCTCCACCTCCGGTAATGGAGGCAGGATGGATCCGTGATACAACTCTGATTGCAAGTACAGCAAGCTCCTCAGACCATCTTGGGCGATTCTCTTTGCTGGAGCAGCGCGGAACTCGTCGTTGAAGATCTCGAGCGACAGCGGCCCGATGTAGCCGGTCTGTATCAGCTTTTCCATGAATGGAATGATGGGGAAGGCTCCTTGAAGGGGATAGTTCCGGTGATGCCGGGAATAGCTCAGATGATCCATTTTGAGAATCGGAGCATCCGCCAACTGCACGAAGAAAATCTTCTCTGCGGGGACATCGGCAATGGCGTTGATATCACCTTGTCGCGAGAATATGTGGAATGTGTCGAAGCAGATACCAAGGTTGGGGTGGTCTACTTCCTTCACGAGCTCCCACGAGTACTCCCATGTGTAAACGTGAAGTCCCCATGCCAGAGCCTCGTACGCTATCCGCTTGTTGTATTTTGCCGCAAGTTCGGCCGCTGCCCTCAGATCCGATACCAGCCTGTCTCTGTCGCCCACCTGTAGAGTCCACGGCATAAGCATTCATCCATGCATTAATTCTCGAAAGGCGGGGAACCATGAACTCCACTTACCGAGCTTGGAGAGCAATTCGAGCACAGCAATATCAGGTCTGTATGGAGCTCATCCATCCACTGAAACTTTCTCTCGAGTCTATCCAGACTGCGCTTCAACTCCTCCGGCGTAGCCGCACCCTCCAGGTCCCTGAAGGGCTGGTACATCTCAATCTTCAACCCGAGCTCCTGACACACATTGTAGATATCCTGACGCGAGCCTGGGTAGTGCAACAGGTCGTTCTCAAAGATCTCGACACCGTCGAAGCCCGCCTCGGCGATCGCCGTCAGCTTGTCGAGGAGGTGCCCCGAAACGCATACCGTCGCTATCGATGTCCGGTGCGGCAGTACGGGCTTGCGCTGCGCTCCGGTAGTCTTCGAGACGAGATTCATTGCGACCGTGTGTAGTGGGGGGTCTTGAGGTTACGTGTCGGCGATGTTACGATACGTAGGAGGAGGAGGAAGGAGGAGCAGGAGGGAGCTGTACGAAAGCTGACTTCAGTTTCGCGGCTTTCGAGTGCGCCGTCCGGTGACAGGTATTCAGCTGCCTCGGGTAGGGGGGGTGGGGAGCCGATGACGGGAAAAAAACTGGCGCGCTCGGATAACCGCGTTTATCCAACGTTTCGCGAAATGCGGGACCGAAGGAAAGGATCAATATATACGAATGGTCCCAAACACCGATCCGATAGTTAGAGGTGGCTGCGTGCTGGGCTGGCTGGGTTCCAATAAATCACCGACTTTTCTGGGGTTGGGTTGGGTGGGTGAGCGCGACCCTACCTATGCTACCTACGGTACCCACCGCGTGTGTGTGTGAGCCCGCCCGCCGCCGCAGGATCTGGCTCGCACGAACCGGATAAACGATAGGCTCGCCCGACATGGGGTACAGCAAAGTGTGGGGTCGGCAAACTGCGACGCTTTGATTCCACGAATCACGGCTGACGAACCGCAATGCTGAGTCGATACTCGGGCTGGCGAATAAACGTGCCGGTCATGTGGTTACATGGGGATCTCCCGGTGTTTCCCCCCCAACTCACATGTGTCATACCGACCACATGGTGAGGGTTTAGGGCTATGTAAAGAGTGTACTGGCGATGGCCGGCCCAAATGCTTAATTTATAATCTTACTGCGTGTCTCCATTCGTCTCCCTTCGTCTCCATTCGTCTCTATTCCATAAAATGCAGCTATGCTGCAGCTACTTCAGTAAAGGCAGGGCCACCCAGTGTATCTACCCTCTCCAATAGCTTTTCAGTGTAAATCCGGGAAAATACTATCCCGAAGTCGAGGTGTATGTGAATGGGCCCATGGGCGCAGGTCCACAAATCTCTTCCGTCAAGAAAACCACTACTACGCAAAAAAAAAAAATCCCCCTCCCATCTTGATTGAGTCTTCTCCTCACGTCCGGAGGTATAATATTTCTCCGCTCGAAACGCGGCGCGACACACCCACTATCTACCACTACCGTACGTACATTGATTAAGCGGCACCATTCGATACCGTCGTACCTAGCACGGCCGCCGGAGGAATTATGGCAAACATGACTACGCCCAAAGAGGTCTACAACTGGCGGAGTAAGTCTTCGTTCCGCCCTGTCCTGCCCCGCGCTGTCAACGCCCGTACCGTCTTGGACGATGTCATGGCATGTCATCCGGATTAACAGACGGCCCCATCTCCGGCACGGTTATTTTAGTATACTTCACGGGGGTCTGTGCCTGTGCGGGCTCGCTAGTGTTTGGCTATAACATTGGGGTGATCGGGGGCTGCATCGCGCTCCCATCGTTCCACCGGGACTTCAACCTGGCGCCTCTGAATACCGCCGAGTACAGTTATGTCGCGGCAAACATTGTCTCCGCCATGCAGGGCGGCGCGTTCTTCGGCTCCATGGGAACTTTCCCAATCACGGAGAAGATTGGCCGGAGGTTCTCGCTCACTATTGCTTCGCTGATGTTTTTCCTGGGGTCTTTGATAATGGTGCGATATGAGTGAACCCCCGGAAGATTTTATTCTGCTTTGTTTATGCGGCTGTCACTTCTCCTCGCCGCCCTCGCGCAGCTGAGCGAACGCAGCCGCATTACAAACGGAGGCGGGAAGCAGTCGGCTGACGGTTGCGTGTGGTACCCAGACATTTTCCTACGGCTCTTTGCCGATGATGTACGCGGGACGTTTCATTGGCGGACTCGGCGTCGGTTCGGTATCGCTTCTGGTACCCATGTACATTAGCGAGATCTCGCCGCCGGACATCCGCGGCTTCCTCGTCGGTATGTGGGAGATCGGGGGGCAGTTTGCATCACTCGTGGGGTTCTGGGCGAACTTCGCCGTGCTCAGCTCTATGCCCGAGTCCCAGAGTCAGTGGATGCTCGCGCTGGGTATTCAGCTGATCCCAGGCGGCCTGCTCTTCCTCGCGAGCGTCTTCGTCCTCCCCGAGAGCCCCAGGTTCCATATCAAGAAATTCAGGCCGGAGAAGGCACTCAAGACTTTGACGTGGCTGAGACAGCTCCCCGCCGATCACGAGTACATCATCAACGAGCTGCGGGCGATGCAGGAGCAGGTTGACCGCGACTTGGTGCAGGCACCGTCGAAGCTCAAGATGATGCGCGAGCTCTGCTGGAAGGGAAATCGCAACCGGCTGGGGTTGGGAATGATGTTGATGATCTGCCAGAACTTGACGTATGTCCTCCGGTTCGCCGCATTCCGGTTTTTGCTTCCTTACTGACTGCGAGATTCTAGCGGTATCAATGCGCTTAACTATTACTCTGTAAATAGGCACCACCATCCCCCCCACCCCAATGAATACTCGTTTTGCAAGATTGCTGACCCGAAGAAATCCGCATATAGCCATCCATCTTCCGCTCCATCGGCTTCACGGGGGTATCAGTGAGCCTCTTCGCGTCCGGCATGTGGGCGCTGATCAAGACGGCTGCGACGATTCTCTCGCTGCTATTCCTCGTGGACCGCCTCGGACGGCGCAAGCTCCTCCTTATCGGCGCGTCGGGGGCTGCCGTGATGATGCTGTACATCGGCAGCTTCATCACGGCGTCAAAGGTGGACCCACAATCGCCGGGCGAAAAGACGCCGGCCGCGTGGCTCGCCATCGTCAGCCTGTACGTCTACGCGGTGTTTTTCTGCATCGCCTGGAACTCGATCCCGTGGATCTACTGCGCCGAGATCTTCCCAAACCGTCTGCGGAGTCTGTGTGTCAGCATCACTACGTGCACCCAGTGGCTCGGACAGTTCGCCATTGCCAGGGCGACCCCGTACATGCTCACCGACATCAAGGGCGGCACGTATTTTTTCTTCGGTGGGTGTTTGATCGCAATGATCGTGTGGGTCTGGTTCTACGTGCCAGAGACGAAGGGAATCACCCTAGAGAATATGGATTTGCTGTTTGGCGTGCCGAAGCAAAGAGGGACCGGCGAAGAGGCGGGGAGGGATGGGCCCGGAGATGATTATAAGGCGAAGCTGGAGGACGTTGATGCGAAGGAGGCGGTGGAGAAGATTGCGGATGAGGGATTTGAAGCGGGTAGGCGGCACATCGAGAAGTAGATAGATATAGATACCTAGAGTCGGTTACGTATGTATGTAACCGCGAGATCGGCGTTGAAGCGGGGGGTTTATGGAGAGGACGGGCCAAGGGGGAGGGGGGGATGAGGTGAAGTTTAGAGGTAGGTATCTACATAGATGTATGATGTATGTATAATGACACCGAAAAGTTATGATTGATGACTTGCCGCCCAATGCAACCCCACCGTACCCGATACGGCATGTCTCGGAAGCCAACGTCTTACATGTAAGCCGTTACCAACAGAATATGATCACGACGGCGCACCTCCCTGCCGACGGTGGAGCAGGATGAACCCCGAACTCGGTCCCGGGAAATTACCTAGGGCCTGTGCAACATGATGGGGTACCGATATGTACGATGGGGGCATGCATATCTCACGAGTTACATATGAAGTTGAGATGTATGTAAGCACCCTATTCGCTGCATAAACGAGGCTGGATCCTCCCTCCACCACCGCTGCTGCCAACAGGGACTCTGACGATCCTGCTTCTCGAATGGTGGGGAATGTCTCAACGCCATGTTCCAGCGTCCACTCGTATTCGGGGGGGAGGTGGTGGAAGGAATGAGAGCAGGTACATATGCCGCGCTTCTAGACGGGTGAGGAGGAACGCCAGCGGTTACAGCCTAACCATCTACCGGGCTTCTAGACGGATGTGGGGAGAGTTTGGGGAAGGGTTAGTGGGGTTACTCAGTCTCTACTACTACTCCACATTGAGTCCATACCGGTTTATTCGATTGTAATCAGAACCAAGGAAGCATCGGTGTTTCTCGCTTAGTGGGCGAACCACGAGGTTCGAACTGGTGGAGGCAGATGAAGCGTGTTCCATGAATCGCCGTTGGCGGTGACCCATCTGCCTAGATACAGTGGGTATTTGGAAGGTAGTGGCACACTGCGACTCACCCCCCAAATGATTAGTTAGCTTCAATGGCACCGCTGAGGAGGTAGAGTATGTCTGCACGGTAACTCCAGCCATTCGGCATCACTGCCGGTCACTCAAGTGCCGTACATATCTCGGAGGACAGCACTGCCGATCCAACAGGGGTACTTAGTATCTGCTATGGGTCGGATATCTGGCCGACTGATAAAGCGTACATACGGTGTCCCTTCTTCCCTTCCCCCCGCCTCCTCGCCTCGAAATCACAAGCTAATGGAGTCTTTATCGAGCAAGAGGAGATATGTACCAGGTAGGTAATCACCCGCGGGATGTGGTGCCGGGGATGGATCAACGAACGGATTATCAATAATCCCTCAGCCTACTCTAGAGTACCATGTAAGTGACCGTAGGTGGTAAGAATTCTTGGGGTAACCACATGAACCTATCGTGGATTGGAATCGAAGCTTCCGAAGTTCGAACGCGCGTGCAGTCTCCTACCACTAGATATGTGCCTACACATGCGGTCTAGGGGATAGTCACCACATCACATCACATCAGACGAACATACCGGTACTTCCATAGCGCTGAATTATCATCGACAGTATGTATGCACATGACTTGACTCGGGAGGGTTCGCACAAACATATGTATGTAGAGTCAAGACATCATGCTTCCTCCACAGCGGCTGCTGCTAGTTATGCCTACCCCCTGGACATGGATGCAAACCAAACCCGCATCGAAGCTTCTTCTCACCAGATATTGCGTTGAAGCGGTGAACCCTGCTGGTTCGATAGGGGAGAGATGCAATCCCGGCCACGAAAACGCTCATCGGATATTCGGTAGCGAGCTCTGGGGGCTCTTGTGTACTTGCCGTTTCGTACCGCTTCCTGATTCTCGTGGGAAGACTCAAGCTGGCGAGACAGTGGCCGCACATCCACGGCGAGTTGAAGTGCGAGAGTCGAGACGACTCTGGAGTAGATATACGGATAGATATAAGGGAGCAATCCGGGGTATCTAAGTATTTCGGTAGCTACGAGCGACCAGAGTGCGTGGGACGGCGAGGGATGGATCATGGCACCACAGACACCATCCGCATACGCACTCACGCATACGGATGTTCTTACATGTTCCCCCACAGCCATCAACCGACCGAATTACCCATCCCCAACCTGACCTAACGACGGGTGCAGGCGCGCAGTGTGCACCACACATCCAGCACACATCCACGCATCCACACATCCCTCCCATCCCCGGAACTTGGCGGTGAGTTGCTAGAGTGCACTACATTGTTAGCGCGCACGAGGGAAGGATGGGGGCGGCGCGGGGCGGGGGGGCGAGGGAGTAAGTCTGTACCGCATTACTACTCGGACTTGGGGATAGGTTTGTGAGGGGGCGCCCCACTACTTAACAGGACTAGGGGACACCGCGCGGGCTTGCTCTGGCATTTTACTTCGGAATGCCCGTCGGTGTGGTGCAATCAGCCAAGCAACCTTCATTCGCACTTGGAGAAGAGAGGGAAAGGGAACGACAGGAATCGGGAACCAGCAGCGAACGAGCGAACGAGCGAGCGAACCAACGACCGGAACACCTGCTGCGAAGCACCTACTGCTAGTACTAATAGTTACATGCTCTCGCCGAGAGTCCAGTTAGTTAGTCCAGACTCCAGACGACCGACCGACGTCCGGCACTTCCCCCAACCACACTCTTCCCGACACCCTCACCCACAACACCACCGATAGCCCCCCCCAACCCCAGCCCCAGCGATCGACTTCATCTTCCCCACACCGAACGGACGTTCAGACGACCCAACCACAACTCCGGTTCGCTATACCGGTACCCTATCCCGACGTCGTCCCGCTACACAACAACCCATACCTACAGTGCTACAGCACGTACGTACGCACGCCGCACAGCATCCGGTACTACACCGCCGTGCAGCAGAACGAACCTCGTGGTTTCAATATAACTATATCTTGCTCGCATCGTATACTCTGCACGCTCGCGACTGTCGCAATTGCTGCCTTCCCACTCTATATCCGGGAAACTAGGGCGTACCCGAGGTTTTCATATTGCACCGTAACCTTGTTCTCCGGTTCACGGTGGTCAACTTGACGAGCTTTGGCTTCAAAGAGCCGCGACGAATCACGACACAGTCACAGTCACGAAGAAAAGGCTCAATAGCACAGACGTCTACGACCTCTCGTCGAAACGATCGTCAAGATACCGTCCGTCATGTCGCGGCCATCCACTGCCGCCAGCGGCAGCTCTGTAACCCAGGAGCCATCGCTGCAGCCCCAGTCGCAACAGCAGTCGCAGCAGCAGTCGCAGCAGTCGCAGCAGCAGCAACCGGCTGGCACGCTCCCGATCTCCAAGCTTCCCGCTGCACGGCGATACACGAGCGAGGCGCGCGAAAACATGAACTGCAAGAGCTGTCGTAAACGCAAGGTCAGTCGGAACCGGACCAGCCAGAACGCGCAAGCCACAGATGCCGTCATCCATTTCCGAAAGTGCACACCGCTGAGAAATGCAGCGAAATACCGGACAACGGCCTGCTGACATCGTTACACCCGCGCATACAGATCAAATGTTCAAGAACCCGGCCGTCATGCAACGCCTGCGACGTTTTTCGCTGCGAGTGCATCTATGGTACTACCATCCATCCCATCCCGTCCCATCCCATCATATCCCATCCCATTCCCCCCGCATTCCCGGGTACGAAGAAAGCGATCGAGGGAGCTGAGACCGGTAGACGCGGTGCCCAAGAAACGTGGGCCGAAAACAGAAGTGCTCGAGGAACTGCTGAAGCGCATCGACGGATTGGAGAAGCGGCTGGGCGACACGGAAACTACAGGTGGCCCAACGCGCGATTCGCCAGGCGCGGACAATAGCAATACTAGCAGTGTGGCATCGAGGAAACGGCCAGCGACATCTTCACCGGAAGGCTCGGGACCATCGCCCTCAGCGAGCATAACTCCGTCAGCACACATAGTCATCACAGGACCTCCGGCCACTTCACCGGATGAACGATTAATACGACGGCTCGTCGACGTCTTCTTTGAGCGCGTCAATGGGAAACCCTACACACTGTTTCACGAGGGCCTGTTCCGTCAGCAGTGGGCTGAGGGAAGGGTGCCACATCATATTCTCAATACGCTATGCGCCGTTTCCGTGAGGTGGGTTGGGTTCGGGGGTGCGACAGAGAGGGGGGGAATATTTCGATGATAACGTTTATAGATATACACCGATCCACGAACTGGGTATAAAGTCGGCGCAAGAATACAGTGAGGAATTCGCGGCGAGCGCAAGGAGAGAGGTGGATTCTGATGAGCCAACGCTCGAGAATCTACAGTCAATGTTGCTGCTGTCGATGACATACTACGCTATGGGATACGGCAAGAAGAGCTTCATGCAGATGGGCATGTTCTCCACTCTTCCCCATAGCATGTGGCGGCATACTGACATCAATCAGGCTCCGCGATTCGAATGACCCTCGCGCTCGACCTCCACCGGGAACTTCCGTCTACGCATCCCTCCTCGCATCTCGAGCAAGAAGTCCGCCGCCGTGTCTTCTGGACATGCTATCTCATGGACCGTTTCACTGTTTGCGGTTCCGTGCGCCCACCCTGCTTCTCCGATCGCTCGATATACCTACGTCTTCCGTGCACCGAGGACTCGTTCCGCCGCGGGATACCTTCGGACTCGCCGTTCTTCTCCGAAACTGGCGTGGGATTTGGTACGCAGATCTCTAACAGTAATCTTCTCGTGGATGTGGTGCGTATCCTGGGCCGAACGATACGGTACACACAGTCCGGCGGTGTGAAGGGAGACTCCCATTTCCCATGGCATGCATCTTCGAATCTCTCGCGTATCCGCAACGAACTCAACACATGGGCTTCTTCGCGTGACCTCCGGGAAGGCGTTCCCCCGACTCCCGACGCGACCAGCCTCTTTCTCGCCCGCAGCGTCTGGCACGTGATCCATTGTCTGATGTACCGCAACTTCCTCCCGATCGACCTCGCCGAGCTGGACGGCAACGGCACACAACAAGCCTGGCAGATGGAAGCGACGAAAGTCTGTTTCCAGCATGCGAACGCGCTTGTCGACCTGATCTCCGTCGCCGGAATGACACCCGCCATCGAATGGCCCGCCTTTGCCGGTTTCTGTCTCTCGACCGCTGCTAGCGTGCTCGTACACGGCGTCTTCTACAAGGGATCGGAAGCGTTCCGTCGGTGCCGGGAAAACTTAGTTACGGTGTTAACGCAGGTCCGAGCGCTAACGGGGTTCTGGGCTTGTATGCGGCAGCAGCTCTTCATCCTCAAGAAGCTGTACCACTGCCACGAGAAGCTGGTGTCGTCCTATTTTCCGGACAGGCGGCCGGCCAGCGTCTTTCACCTCGATGACTTTTATGACCGCTATGCTGCGCAGGGCGGAGGCTTCGAGGCTTGCCATGTTCCATTCTTCGATGCCACGGAGGACGACACCGACTTGTAACCATCCCTCTCCTAGCTGTGGTGTCCCCAGGGCTAACCGGTGACCAGATCATTCCTGGGCATTCCCGCGATGAAGTCGCAGCAGAACACTATTGGGTACAACCCGGTACCATCTCTTTTGCACCAACAACAGCAGCAGCAGCAGCAGCAGCAGCAGCGGTCACAGCAGCAGCAATATATAGAGGAATACCCGTTCTCGCCCACCACACCGCAGGACTTGCAGTTCCTCTCGGTCGCCAATTTCACCAGCCACGCCGGCTTCGAGTACGAAGACTTTGGTCAGGGTTTCCAGCATATGCAGCCGGATGCGGTGGGCGGCGGTGGCAGCGGCGGTGACGATGGAGGTGTCCAGGATATGAACATCATCGAGCAGGAACGTGATCCGCTACTGAGTATGCTAGCCGAGATGGCGGAGAGGGAGGGCGGCTTCGACGGTGGAGCGCCGTTGATGGAGGAACAACGGGTAGATGATAGTAGGTGGATGGGAGGAGGAGGAGGAGGCGGCGGCGGTGGCGGTGGTGGGACCGGGAGGATAGTAGTAGGTGGGGATGGCAATTGATAGTTCGTCGGGGCGTGTTGATTCTGGTGGGACCAGATGTCGTCAGCCGGTAGGTCCACGAGACTCCGGAGCGACTCGACTCGACGGCGGGTTTTATATCCGTGAGGGAGAAACAAACGATTGGTGGAGTTTATGTCTTTTTCCTAAATATGGGGATTTTGTTTGTATTATTTATGGGGGCGTTTGCTTGCGTATTGGGGCGCGGTATCGGTCGAGGCGTGAGAGGGGGGGAGGTGGGAGGCGGAGGAAAAAGGTTGGATGGCTGTATCTGCGGATCTGCGGGGGGAGTCTTCTTCGATTTTGCTTCGATTTTTCTTCTTCGGCTTTTGTTTGTTTGTTATATATTCGTTTTTGTTTTTGTTTTTGCCTTTGGCGTGTAACTTTAGGGATGGACTGGCTGGCTGCTCGGTTGTATGTATGTTTGTATGTATACGTCGGCGGGGGGGACGGGGGACGGGGGACGGGGGACGGGTGGTGCATTTGTATTTATGAAAGCTGCGGAATTCTAATCGTTTGATGATGCTGATGGTGTAGTTGCGATGATATACGCGTGTGTGTGAGTGGTGGGATGAATGTCCGTCGCTATTAGCCTGGGCTGGCTGCTGCCCGCTGCCCGTTGGCGATCAGGCGCTGTCACGACATGTCAGTCCATTCCGACTAGGAAATGGCTCCACATGGTCACATCGGCTGCATTCCACGCGATAACTAACACCACCTACTACATACCCACCCGCGCCGGGATCGGATGACAGGCCAGTTGGCCATATCAGAAGCGCTGGATAAAGTAGAGTGGAAAGTAGAGTATAATTCCAGGTATCTAGGGAACAGTAGATTGAAAAAAGTATCGAAAGGGAGCGTCACAGCTAAAGCAAAGTAAAAAGTCTCTAGGTAATCACAAAACACACCAACGCAAAAGAAAAGCAAAGGAAAAGAAAATCCGTCTACACAAACTTCCGGAACCATTCCGTTCCGGCCGTCCGTCTCCATCTCCGTCTCTGTCGTGGGCCCGCCGTCTAGCCTCCCGGCCTGGAGTAATCCAGCGGGACCACGCGCCGCCACACCTCGCGCACGACGCGCAGCTGTGCGTCCCTCGCACTCTCCAGTTCGGTCTCGCCCGCGGCACGAATACCAAGGTACCTCCTCCCGCCCAGCCTCACGTCTCCCACATCCTCACTGCCATCCTCGGGGGGCGCGCCATTCGTCACTAACCCACCGGCCTCGCGCAGGATGCATATTCCCGCGGCGACATCCCACTCCCAGCAGCCGCCCTCCCACCAGATATCGAAGGCGCCGGTGGCGGTGTATGCCAGGTCCAGCGCTGCGCTCCCCAAAGACCGCACGCCGTGCACCATCCCGCCCTTACCGCCCCTCCCACCGAACTCCGCGGCCATGTTCAGGAAGCTCTCAGACTTGCGGTACAGGTTCCCTTCGGGCACGTCCCGTCGGTCTTTTCCCCACTCGCAGGAGAAGATGCAGCCGCGCGGGGCGTTGGCGGGTAGTGGTGGTGGTGGCTGGAGAAGAGGTAGTGAGGTGGTCTCGTTCAGCCACGCGCCGAGACCAACGGCGCCGGAGAAGAGGGAGTGTGCGAACGGCGCGTTGATCACGCCGACGATGGGCTCGCCGCGGTGGATCAACGCGATGCTGATGCACACCAGGGGGAACATGTGCACGTAGTTCACGGTGCCGTCGAGCGGGTCGATGCACCATGTTGGTGGAGAGTCGGGGGTGATCAGGTACTCGCGCGAGGAACCTTTGGAGTAGCTCTCCTCGCCGACGAAGGCGTGCGTGGGGTAGGCGGTTTCGATCGCGGATTTGATGAAGCTCTCGAGCTCTGTAGTGGTGTAGACGATGGTCAGCATGCGAGTGCGGGATGGGAGTTGATGAAGGTGATGATGGGTAACGAACGCTCGTCTGTCTCCGTGACTAAATCGACCGAGTTCAGCTTCTGCGTGGAGGAGATAACATGGTTGTTGTTCTGCGCTGCTCGACGCTGCTCGGTCGCCGCGACCAGGAGCTGCCCCGCCCGTTTGGAGAGGTCAATCGCAAAGGCGTAGAGCTCATCGATGTTGAGGTCGTCGTTGCTGTCCGCCATTGTTCGTGAGCGCGACCGATAACTAGCACGTCTTGCGGGGTGACGCACACCCTTAGCATCGCGATTATACGTCAGGGTCTTGCCAGTAGCCGCTTACACGCGGATCGGCTCGCCGCCGCAAGCCGAGAAACCTTATCTTATCTTATCATCCTATCTAAGTTATCTTTCTCGGGAACGCTTCCTCTATCCGCAGAGCCAGTGCGTTTCGCGGGGTGGGGATAAATTTTCCACCAATCATATCACTTTCATAGTGAGTTTTTCCGAACAGGTCACGTGAAGAGGGATTGGCCCGCGCTTTTTGCCTCGGTCCCGGTAGGTGCAACAAGTTGCCCCACCAAGGTCCTCCTCTCCGCCCCCGCATGCCGATGCCAGAAGTCCCTGGGGAGTGGCTGAAGTTGTAAATGTCCCGGCTGCAGCTACAGACGCCATGAGGTACCAACGCGAGTGACGCGCAAGGTTGCGGTCGTTCCCCGGATTTATGGAATTATATATTCCACGTCCCTCTCGTATATAACATATCGGCCCCTTGTGACACTCTCCCAGGAAATAGAGACAGCAAAGTGCAAGCAAGCAACTCCCTACCTACATATCATACGAGCAGTAAAGCATCGCCCTCGCCAGCCATTCCCGGTCCACGTCTGCCCTTCCGCCTGCTCGGTTCCTCAGTGATCAGAAGATCCGTCCCCACAGTCTTCACCCGCACCTACATCCTCTCCCCGCCAACAATGTCTGCCCCCATCATGGAGAACCCCCTGCACGTCATCGTCGTCGGCGCCGGCCTCGGCGGTCTGGCCGCGGCAATCGCAATCCGCCAGTCCGGGCACCAAGTCACGGTCTGCGAGCAAGCACCGGCACTCGGCGAGGTAACCTATCCCGCCCCAGAATCAACCGCCCACCGTGCTGACAATCTCCTGCACAACAGGTCGGAGCCGGAATCCAGATCCCGCCCAACTCGGCGCGCATCCTGGAGCGCTTCGGCATCGGCGAGGAGATCCGCCGGCTGTCGGTGCTCCCGCATGCGTTCGTCATGCGCTCGTATAAGGGCCCCGAGCTCAACCGTCAGCCCATGCTGCCGTACTGCGAGGAGACGTACAAGGCCCCCTACCTGCACATTCACCGTGCCGACTTCCACAACGTCATGATCAAGCGGGCGGAGGAGATTGGTGTTAAGGGTATGTGATGATTTGTTGTGGATTTTTGGTGGGGTTGTGTTAATGGGTGACATAGTTGTGCTCAACGCCCATGTCAACGAGATCGACTTCTCGGCCCCGAGCGTTACGCTCGCCACCGGCGTGACTATGACTTGCGACCTCGTCGTTGCCGCGGACGGGCTCAAGAGCAAGTGCCGCGAGCTGTACGTCGGGCACGCGGACCCGCCGCACAACACGGGCGATCTTGCGTACCGCATTCTCGTCAAGGCGTCCGACATGAAGAAGGACCCGGATTTGGCGCAGTTGACGGAGGTGCCCGTCATCAACTACTGGATGGGCCCTGGTGCGCACGCGGTCTGCTACCTGCTCAAGGGAGGCGAGTTGTACAACATTGTCCTCGTGTGCCCCGACAACCTGCCCGAGGGTATGGCGCAGCAGGATGCCGACCTCCAGGAGCTGAGGGATATCTTCGCTACCTGGGACATCAGGCTGCAGAAGCTGCTGGAGCTTGTGCAGAAGACGTTCAAGTGGAAGCTGCAGGTACGTTCCATTCCATCCTGCCACCAGCGAAAGCGCACTCCCTAACAACGCCACAGAACTCCAAGGAGATGGACTCCTGGGTGCACCCCGAGGGCAAATTCTGCCTGCTCGGCGACGCCTGCCACGCGACACTCCCCTACCTCGCGCAAGGCGCCGCACAAGCCGTCGAGGACGGCGGCGTTCTCGGCGGGCTCCTGGCACACGTCACCGCCGCGGACAAGGACAACCTTCGGCCGCTGCTGGACTCATACGAGCGGCTGCGCAAGGCGCGCACCACCGCGGTGGTGCAGGGCTCCACCGACCTGCAGAACGTCTTCCACCTGCCTGACGGCGCCAAGCAGCAGGAGCGCGACCGCATCATGCTTGAGGACAACCCCACCGAGGGCTTCCCAAACAGGTGGAGAGACCCAGTGTTCCAGAAGTTCCTGTTCGCGTACGATGCGTTTGGCGAGGCCGAGAAGGCCTGGGAGGTCCTCGCGGAGGAGTACAAGCGAGGTGAGTAAACTCGCTGCTGTGCGGATGTGCAAATGGTGGATCAGCGGTTTGACTTGCGGATGTGCGCGGCAGTCAGGAGGTCGGTGTTGAGTAGATTGTAAAATGGCGGGGGATATGTTTGTGCTCGGATTTGGATTTTTTTTTGTACTGTATATATCGCGTGGAGTTTAGGATGAATGGACATGGAATGGACTTGGTTGGGTTCAAAATTTCGAAGTTGGTTACCTGGATACATTGTCGTTTCGTCTAGAGCTTTATGGTGGATTGTCTCTTCGGCATCGGATCAATGCTGTGGGATAGACATTGAGGTCACTGTTTGGATGAAGAAGGCTCAATCACAGCTAGAGTCGTATCAGGGTGGAAATCAGAAAGTGTTTTTCCACGCAACGTCAGGAATCACAGGATCTCACCCATTATTATGTCTACGGGAAAGTTGAGGGTTACTGAGTAGGTAAGCTTACTGGCAGACAAGCTGAATGGGATATGTTAATGTTCATTTCTCGTGGACATTGAGGAAATGTCACTCAAAGGATACCAAACTTGCTTGAGGGAAATTCAGTTTTATTATAGTTTCTTTACTCAAAACAACCCACACACCGAACTCCATCCTCAATGACCACTGCTACGCCCAGTTCAACCTCACAATGGGAGCACAAAAAACTCAACCGCTTGTCCTTCAACTGCGGTCCGGCTCACCCACAATGTCCACTGGATCAAGCGTCTCGTCGTCCTCCCCTTCGCAGCAGCATCCCTCAAGCCAAAGCTCAACCGTCCCATCCAAGCCCACTCCCACCTCACCGCTAGCCATGCCCACCCTCCCTCTCCTCATCCCATTCCTCGCATTCCTCCTCCCCTCGTTCCCCAACCGTCAACCGAGCACACTCGCAGGTCGACTGGACCCCGTACTCGCCGAGAACGCCGGGCGATCCTTCCACATGACGGCGGGGCCACAGATGCCGCCTCTCGCACTCTTCGGCCTTGTAGCAGTGGTGCCAACAGTGCGCTCACTCCTCGCATCCACATCGTCGACGTCATCCACCGCTGCAGCTACAGCTACACCCGTGTCCCCGTCTCGCTTCCCGTCCTCGAAGCCCTTGATGTAGCCGTAGTAGAAAGCTCGGACCTCCTGCGTGGTGCGCATATCGGAAGAGGCGGCGGCAACGACCGCGGCTGAGTGCGAGGGCGGGAATGCTTGTGGACGGAGGATCAGGCAGCCGGTGATAAGCGTGATCGAGAGGATTAGAGTGATGCTGGCGGCTGAGGGACCAAGGAGGTAGATCAATGCAGTGAGCGTGAGGAAGTGTGGGTAGAAGGCGGTAAGATGGTGCTCTGCCGGGGTGGGGAAGGAGGCGACGGCTGCGGAAGTTGCCATTGAGGTGTGTTGGTGATGATAAATGTGGTTATTGGCTGTGGTCAATGGGTATGGGCTGGGACAATGGGATAGGTAGCTGCAGGGAGACACAACATGTCCAATCACAGCTTAGCACTCGCCATTCGGTCACACAGCCTAAAAATATGAACAGAATTGCACGTGAAACTGACGCCAGACTACTGAAACACGCCAAACCTCGCAGCGCCTGTTGGCATCTAACCAACCGCAAATCAAGTTTCAGCACACGCGTGGGACCTCCGCCACAATGACGTAGGGCAGGCATGGCGGCTGCTCCAGCTTGGCCTGGCCAGTGGCTACACCAAAGCCAAAGTCAAACCAAAATTATACATAGCCCCTTCGCTAACCGAACAGTTAATTAAGCTTGATCGTTCCCCCCACTACCTTATCCTCTCCATTCCTTCAATTCACACAACTGCCCCATACAGCTCGACAACCATGCTCTCCTACATCAAAACCTTCAAACCGAACGTCTCAAAGGACAAGGGAAAAGCTCCAGAGACTCCCGTCCCCGCGGCAGCGACCTCTGCCCCCGCGGCGGCGGCATCGACCGAAGAGGCACAGAGCGACGACACGAAATCACCCGCGCTCTCGCCCGCCGACGAAACGTTCCTTGCCGCGGAGCTCGAGAAGGCGGACGAGCCCAATGTGATCTTCCCAGGGTCTGGGGAGACGTCGGGAACGACGACGCCCGTTGAGACTGCTACGCCTGCTGAGCCTGTGGTGGTTGAGCCGGAAGCTAAGGCCGGGGAGAAAACTAAGGGTCCCAAGACGGAAGAGTTGATGGGCGTGATTACTGCGCGCTGGGACGGCTTGAAGCGCACGGTCTCCTCGGCGGCGGTGCAGCATCGCAAGAAGGCGGCCGAGAAGGCGGCTGAGGAGGCGGCGAAGAAGGAGGAGAAGAAGGAGGAGAAGAGGAGGCTGAAGGAGGCGAAGGAGTTGGAGAAGAAGAAGTACAAGCGTCCCGAGGATGAGCTCACTGACGCACTGGAGCAGCTGAATCTCACCGCTGAAGAGGTAATACTTCCTGCTCTTTTTTACTCCACTCGGGCAAGTTCTAACACAAAACGCAATCAATAGGGCCAGGCAATCGCCCTCTCGAAAGAAACCAAAATCCTCCTCGGCCAGTTCACACAGATTCTCAAAGACATTGGCAACGGAGCACCCACAGCGTACGGCGATCTGACATCACTCCTCGACACCAGCTCCACGCAACTCGAGGAGACCTTCACGGGACTCCCATCGTTCCTACAGAAACTGATCAAGACACTTCCCACGAAGCTGAAGCCCGAGCTTCTCCAGGCCGCTGCGGCCGCCTCGCCTGCTTTGGCGACGGAGGGCGGATTCAAGGCGCTCGTGACGCAACCGGGCGCGCTGATGAGCTTGCTCAAAGGCGTCGTCAACATTCTCAAGCTACGGTTCCCGATGATTTTGGGTGCTAATGCTGCGTTGAGTATGGGGTTGTTCGGTATGTTTTCCCTCTTGGGAAGAGGCGGTGTTACGGAAATGTGCTAATGGTCATCATAGTGGTCCTGCTCGTGTTGTGGTATTTCTACAAGCGCGGAAAGGAAGTGCGGTTGGAAAATGAGGAGAAGGACCGCGTCGCCGCGGCCACACTGGCAGAGGCCGAAGGGGAGGCATCTGCGGCAGCCAGAGTGAGCGGTACTGAACAGGATCTTCAGGGTGGAAGCAAGTACTAGACTTGATTTGATAATCGTCTGTTGTTTTCGTTTGATGCGGGATATGAATTCACGATCTGGGGTTCGGTTTGCATTGGAGTTGTTTGTTTGTTTTCTTTTTCTTTGCAGGTTTCTTTGCTTCAAATTAGGTAGGCACTTTGAGATATCAGCGTGGTAGTGGGATGGAATGGTAGGCAATAAGACATGATTTCGTTTTGAACGGGTTCACTCTCTCTCGTAATTGACTGTGCTTGAATATGCGGGTTGAAGCTCCAGATGTATGGGGTATTCCAATATCACATGCGGCCATTCACGTCGGAGCCGTCCACCCGTAGCCAGTCCACCCATAGCCAGTCCACCATGCAGGTCCTCAACCCTCACCTCCACATCCCTCTCCTCGAGCTTCTCCCATTCATTACGAATCCCATGGCCATGGTCCAGTGTCTCCTGCCCATCTCGCTTATCGGCTTGGCACATCCCAGGGGATCGACCGCGGACAGAGGCATGTGAAGTGGTTCCGACGGCATGCCAGGCCGTACATAGGGTCGGGGACGATGACCCTCACATATGTAGACAATGCACGCGAACGAACGCAGGTATGTAAAAGTACTTGGTATGTATAAAAACAGCAAAAACGATAGCCCCAACCCATGCAGCAGAAAAAATCTACAAAAACAACCAGACGACGCACTCCCCTCCCGTTTACAACAGCGACTTCGTACCACGGGCGGACAGATTGGCCGCGAGATAGCTCTCGACCCTGCGCTTGGGCGCCAACTCGTCAATATCCCACACGCCGCCGAGCACGCCGTCGGGACGGAGAACCGCGACGACACCGGCGTCCCTGTCGACGCCGAACGTCTCGTATCCCTGTCCGCTGACGTCGCCGAGAAGGTTCCACTCCCAGTCTTCTTTCAGCGCCTTGGGGAACATGTTCCACTCCACGTCGTCGTTGGAGCGCAGCGGGTGGATGATGAACGGCTCGAGGATGCCGCGCGCAAACTTCTGCGGGAGCGTGCTCGTGAGGTAGGTGAGCTGCTGCTGCACGCGCGGGTCTTTGAACAACTTGGGAAGCAGCACGAGAACGACGTAGTGCCCGGACGCCGGGAGGACGTCGTGGAACTCGCACGGTGCGTCGTCTGAGAAGCGCCGCACCGGGATGTTAATCAGTCTTCGGCCCGACCGGAGGAGGCCAAAGTCCGGGTTGAGGCTGTTGTCCAGGGCCTTTACGAGGGTCTTTTCGACAAGGCTGCTCTGCTCATACTCGACTGCAAAGGGTGTTAGCTTAGCGCATCCTATTGTGCATGGGGATCACCGTACTGCCGCATCCACTGGTGAATCCACAGCCGGTGTGGAAGACCTTGAAGAAGTCCTCGTGCGAAAGACCGTCGTCTCCCATCTTCTGGGAGAACTTGGAAGCGAATGCATTGTCAAAAGCAATCAGCTGCTCTGCGATATCTCTTCGTTCGAACTGCGGCCGTCTGTTAATATGAGGAAGGTAGATGGGGGGTTTAGAATGCTAACCTCGTAGGTGGGCAGAAGTGAGCCCTTAGGAGCGAGGCCCAACAGCTCGAAAGCAAGCTTCCAACCAAGGTTGAATGCGTCCATCATGCTGACGTTCATTCCCTGGCCAGCTTTAGGGCTGTGGGTATGGCAAGCATCTCCCATGATGAACACTCGATCAGCGCCTTCGCTGTCTTGCACAGCAAATTTAGTTGCTACACGCTGGCCGATCTGGTATGCGGCTATCCACCTGTCAGCATGGGACGCAAATCGTGGAAGAGCGAGAAATAATGTACCCCACCAATCCACCTTGACAACCTCAACATCGTACGGCGCCATTGTTTTCTTCACCTGATCCAAGATCCGCGGGAGTGTCACACGTTGCCGCCGCTCTCTTGCCCGGGCCTTCGCCTCTTGCTCACTCGCAGCGTTTGCGACGGTCGATGTGGCGTCGACGACGTCTTCGAGCTGCGTGTAGAGGCGGGTCATGTACTGCTGGTCTTCGATCATTTCTCTTGGGATAGCCATGATGGATGCGGCATCCGAGTGAATGGCGCAGCGCTTCCGAATGTCCGGGAAGTCGGTTTTTAATACGGCATCGACAACACCCCAGATGTAATCGGTACTCTCTGTACGGAGTCAGTTGTTTTGGTACTGGCTGGAATGGCCGGGCGACTCCTTACCTCCTTGCAGCTTTACGCCCATCTGCTCGCGGACTTTCGAGTGTGCTCCATCCGCTCCCACGAGGTACTTGGTAAACACCGAGTACTCCCGCCCAGTCACCACATCCCGCAAGAACACCCTGACGGGAAATTCTCCGCCAACAAACTCATACTTCAAGAACTCGGTCCCTCTCTCCACCTCGTTGCCGTACTTGTTCATCTGTCTTTCGAGGATGTTGACGACTCTGCCGGCAGCGAGCAAGACCTTGTGCGGGTACCGTGTAGGAACGGTGACATCGTCGGTGACCGCAGTTCGGACGATACGGGGTTCGCCGGGACCACCGGGGTTCCAGAACGCCATGCGGTGGTTCGGGAAGCCCTGAGAGAAGACCTCCTCCGAAAGGCCGAGCGTGCGCAGGACTTCGAGTGTGCGCGGCTGGAGACCGTCGGCTTGCCCGGGAATGATCATCGAGGTGACCTTCTCGACGGGCAGGCAGGAGACGCCATATCGGGCTAGCATCAGTGAGAGCATGATTCCCGCCGGTCCGGTCTGTTCAGAAGAATATCAGTCCAACAAGCTCCGTGAATTACTCCTGAGTCCTGCTAAGGGGATTGGTACATACACCGATGATCACCACCTCATGCTTCGCGCCGTCCGCCGTCCGGTCTACATTCACAGGTGCTGGCGACGAGACACGGGGTAGCGGCGGTTTCTTGAGTCCGGCCGCACGCTGCAGCATCTCTGGCGACGACTCCTCGGTGAAGACAGGCATATTCGGATATCTATTTGGATGCTGGTACTTTGGTTATCGTGGGATGCGACGAAGTGCACTGAAGGACAACCTATATTAGACTGGGAACCCAGCGGGCCCAGGCCTGATAAATAAGGCGGCCAGCTCTTTCACGGAGACGCGATTCCCTTCCCTCCCCACGCGTCGGGGCCGGAGAAAAGCCGCGGGGATGCGACCTGACCTCGGCCACGTAGAACCAGATTCGGCCGGTAGGACCGTGGTGCGGAATGCCATGGATGCCATCTGCAAGGGCGTTGCACTTCGGCACCGCTTCGCACGTATCGATGCAGGTTCTCGATGCCCAGCTTCTCTGACGGAGCTGTGGGGCATTAGCGACGGAACCTGGACACGCATTGCGGGGAAGGCAAGGCCAACCGGCTGCTGCGGCTCCAACGGGGCCAGCCAGCCACGACCTCGGCATGGCCCGCCGATGTGCTTCCCCGGTGCATCTCTACTCCTTCAACTGACGTACGCTGACATTCTTTCACTTCGTTTACAGAAGGTCCGGGATTGATAAGGATTCGAAATGGACAATCAAGGCGAATGCACCGGACACTATTTCTTCCTCCAACCGGAGTGCTGCCATCAGTCGAGCAGTCGAACATGTGGGATTGATTGTAACCATTTGTCGGATCATGAGATTCTGGAAATAGCAAAGGTGGTCGAGGCCTTCATTCCTGCCTCATTTTTGAAGCTATCATGCATCGACTCTGGTCTCGCGAGCCGCGACCGGTATCTATCCCACCGACTACATACTAAAGCGAGGACAATATGGACTCCCCTTCGCACCGACTCGCCGACGCCCTCACCTACGAATTCGTCGAGAATCGCGACCCTCGTCGGATGTGGGGCCGGTGGCACGGGGTCCACTACTCTAATGGCCACCACTTTGGTCGCGCAGACGCCCAAGGCTGCAGGGATCGTCCGGCTCCATTCCGTGCACCGCTCCGCTGCCAGCTTCGTCACGGGGAACATTCCGTAAGTGATCGACTGTCAACCCCACCTACATAACTCCTTACGCCACATAAAACTTGCAGACAATCGCATCTCGAGGATTTGTTAGATGGAGTTCTGCGCTTTGGTCTGTGTCTGGTTTCGGAGAGTACCTACTCTAGTTATGTAATCGATTCGAGCCTGATCCTTTCGTTAGTAAGTAGCAGAATTCATAATGTGGTGTACGTGAAGATCGTACTCGTGAAAGATGGGGTGAAAGATGGTTATCTTTTCTAGCTCTCGTGGTTCATACATAGGAGTTCCTCTTATTGCTCACGATGAACCCACTTCGTTGGGTTCCCTCTTCAGTCTCATTCTAGCTAGCTTGCGCCACCCTTATCAGATCGCATCGGATAACATTCTTCCCACGAGCCATCGCCATGATGCTCTCGCGGCGTACGAAATAATGCTCTTACGTAGCACCGATGCGGTCGACGTGGGCGCCGCGCACAGGGTATCTCTTTTTCAGCCTCCTCGTAACTATGTGTTGGAACATATTTGGGTAGACGGAAGAGATGATCCATTCGATACAGCAACGATGTCATCGGCGGCGAGATCTCTCTTTGTATACAGACGGAGGTGCGGCCGAAGGTTCCTCACCTCCGACAGCATTGGGTCTCGACCGCCGCCGCGGAACCTGATTCGTGCCAACATCTCCGGGCATCCAAAGTTTGACGCCATGTGCTCGTTGGCTCGCACGTGACACGGGATAGTCACCCTGCAAGGCGAAACCAAAGATCGGCAGGTTGCCTTCGAAATGCCCCGCTGGGCTCCTCGTACCCACAACCTTCATGCGAGGCGCAGCAGCCGATACACTCCACCATATTTGCGTCTCCGTTCCGAGTGAGCGTACTAGGCATCGACCATATACGCTTCAGAAAATTTGATGAGGCTCGATGGCTTCCTTTCCTAGAGGCGGAGCAAGGCGTTCTGCCTGTTGAAGTCATGGGAATCGTCCCAAAGCAGCCAACTACTTGGTCGCCGGTCATACGCGTACGGTACCTATACCACAGAGCTGCAGAAAATAAATTTTGAGTTATGTAACTTTCTTTTCTTGCTGTCGACGGCAGATGCACAGAAACGGCCAAAGCCGCGGGGACCGCCGCCGTGATTTTCAGCCCCAGGCTAACTACACGATGCAAACCATATTCTGTTGCGGCGATGGCACACCAGGTCGGCCCAATGTTACTCCAGTGTTCGTAATTGCGAGTTATCCTAATGGAATTCTCGTATGCTACGTGCTTTCCACTCGCAATGCCATTGGCAAGTACGTCCTGCCAACTCGCATTGCCATTGGAAATCACGTCTATGCAAAGCTGGGCTCGTCATGGGCTTGCGTATTGCTTTTGACATCGCCGTCTGTACGAGTGTCCCATTCTCATCTACGTATTCAATTCGGGCTTCTATAAACTGAGCTCTTGCTCCCAGAAACCAGGACAGTAACTCCACTACGATCCGGTGCCAACAGAACTCAAGAACAAAGCACTCGTAACAATGCGCAACCTTTTCCAACTTCTCCCGCTGGTAATCACCGCGGTCATAGCTTGTCCCCTTCCCGGGCCTACTCTCCCGCAGCCAAAGGACTTAGTTCGGTCTTCGATCCTCTCTACGGCCCTCAAGAACTTGACCGCCACCTTGGACTCTGCCGTAGCGGGCGACATCGACCCGGGCTTCCAAGTGAACATAACCTCGTTCTCCATCGTCCTCAACGACGCCCACAACCAGCTGTGGGAGTACCACCACACAGCAGAGACGACCACCAACGGTACGCACTCGGTCAACGCCAGCTCGCAGTACCGCATCGGATCCGTCAGCAAGGTGTTCACGGACCTACTGCTGCTCCGGCTGAACCTTGACCTTGGAGACAAGATTACGAAGTACCTTCCTGGACTCAACGAGGGCAATGGAACCATCGAGTGGGACCGTGTCACCTTGAGGGATCTAGGAAGTCATATGTCCGGCGTGCAAGCCAACTACGGCTTCTTGGAGGATTACGTGGCGGAAAAACAGTATGAGCAGTTTGGATTTGCGCCGCAGGACCCAGATTCATACTCCCTGTGTGGAGTGGCTGGGCTGCGACCAGAGCCGTGTACTGAGGAGTGTATGTTTCTCCTCCCTCCCCCTGCGATGGCGATTAGATACGGTATTGATACGGTGTGGTGCAGTGGTCGTTGAGGGTCTGTCGAACTCTCATGCGATATTCCCTTTGCACTCGAAGCCGGCATATTCCAATATCGCCTTCGCACTGCTGGGATATGTGGTCCGTAACGTCACCGGCCTGTCGTTTGAAGACGCTATGCGTAAACACCTGACAGCGCCCATGGGGATGAACCGCACCACATTCAGTCCCATTAGCGAGGGAGATATGGTGATCCCTCCGAGCCCTGACGCTCTCTGGTCAACGGACCTTGGCGCAAACAATCCGTGAGATATCCCTTCCCTGAACCCAACGATTTCATGCATCTAACGCCTATTCTAGCGGCGGAGGAGCCTACTCAACCGCCCACGACATGGCCATTCTCCTCCGCGCCATCCTGTCCTCCGACTCCGACCTCCTGCCGCAGGCCACCATCAACGAATGGCTGCAACCTGTGACCTTCGGCTCGGAGATCAACAGTGCCGTCGGCTTTCCATGGGAGATCACGCGGACCTCCAAGCTCTCTCCAATCCGGATCGTCGACCTCTACAACAAAGACGGCGCGCTACCCGGGTACAGTTCGATCTTCTCACTGATCCCATCTTCGGACATTGGTTTCGCCATTTTTGTCGGCGATGGCGACCTGGTGAGCATGGCGCCCTACGTCCTGGCCGAGGCGCTGCTCGCGAGCGTCTTCCCCGCCGTCGACGAGGCTACGAGGCTGGAGGTCGTGGACACAGGTTACACTGGGAACTTCTCGGCCGGCAACAGCTCCATCCAGCTCGTGATGGGCGAGGGCGGTAACGGATTGCTCGTCGAGAAATGGCTGAGCAGGGGCGTCGACCTCTTGGCGCTCTCGAATTCTCCTGGGAGCAACACGACTTTTAGGCTCTATCCGTCGGAACTGGTGACTGTCGACGGGGATACCGAGGAGGAGGTTTGGAGGGTGCTTTTTGAGACTCCGGGCCTGCCTAGGCCGGAGCTGGAAAGCGAGGGCGTTTTTGCCTCCGATTGTGCCAGCTGGGGACAGCCCGGAAGGCTGCTGTATAATGGACAGCAGGCGGATAGGTTGGTGGTCACGAAGAGGAACGGCACGGTGGAGTCTCTCGAGTTCCCCGTGCTGGGGGTGGTGATGAAGAAGGAGTGAGTGAGTGGGACCACGACGGATTTTACTGCGGCGGTGCGGCGGTGCGGGGGCGTACTTCGGTGCGATATTAGTAGCTATGGTTATCCGCGTACTTTTATTTTATTTCTGTTTTTTTTTGTCCGAGATCACTCATTGTAGCACCAAGTCTGTCCTTCAGTTTCATACGAAGTAAATGTGGATTCAATGAAACCTACACAACTCTCCTCTCACTCACTCTCTCTCTCTCCTCGACCATCAATTGTAGTGCTTGTCTGTCGTACTTTATAAGCATCGAATTCATGTTTCCAGCACGGAAAAAAAACCCGCGTGGTCTAGTGGTTTACTACTTAGGCCATGCAATCGGCGAGGGGAGTTGAGGGAAAGCTCGGGGCTCAAGCCCGGGCGAAAGACTTAGCTCTTGGGGGTTCCAAGCCACCCACCGGGGGTGGTGATGGTTTTTGGCAAGACGGGTGGAGCACTGGATATCGCTCGGTAGCAGCCATCACGTGACACGACTTTCTGCTTTGGGTGCAGGTCCCTCCGCTTGGGCATTGGGGTTTGCTTGTTCCGATGGAATATTTCAATCTAGGGCCTGAACAAAGCAGCATACCCATCAGAATAAAAATCTAAGCACTCATCTCCGTCTCCTGATACTTCTTCCTCCGTATCAACTCGAAGCTCCTCCTCAATCTCTTCCAACCGCTTCAAAAACGCCTGTATCCTCTTCGGTACCGCAGGAACAGCGCCCCTCCCGTATTCCACCAGATCCTGGAACGCAACCACCTGTGTCCGCAGTTGAAACATCTTTGGAAACAGCGGGCTTCCGGTCGGCAGCTTGTTGCTCGCCTGCTTCACCGCGCTCACCAGCAAATCGAGCTTTATGATAGTCGCTGGCTTGATGGCTGGTCGCGACGGCGGCCGAATATAACCGCTTTCAGTAGGACTGTAACAGTTTACTGATTCCGGTGGAGAGGGGACTTTCGGTTGCGGTGCGTTCCGGAGAGTGTAGGCCGGGTGGAGATCCGGTTCTTCGTATTCTTCTTCTTGGTCTGCAGTTTTCCATCCTCGATAACTTCCGCTCGACTCCACTCCCAGTAGTACGCCCCGACGGGGGACTAGAAGGAGATCCGGTTCTTCGTACTCCTCTTCTTGGTCTGCAGTTTTCCATCCTCGATCCGGTTTTTCATATTCATCTTGGTCTGCAGTTATCCATCCTCGAAAACCCCCTCTCGACTCCACTCCTAGTAGTACGCCCCGACGGGGGACTAGAGGGAGATCCGGTTCTTCGTACTCCTCTTCTTGGTCTGCAGTTCTCCATCCTCGATAACTTCCTCTCGACTCCACTCCCAGTAGTACGCCCCGACGGGGGACTAGAGGCACCCAAAAATCCATCGTCCTCCGGAACCACCCCAGTCGTCGATTCAGCCTCCGGTACCGGATCTTCTCGCGGACGAGCCGTAGCGCAGGGGCGGTTCCCGAGCGGGCAGTAGCATTGGCATCGGTTTCGGCTTCAGCTAAGTTTCCGGGGAAATTCCTCTCTCCAATGGAAGCAGAACTCCCGCCACCGCCGAGGTCGTCCATTCCATCTCCATCCTTCGCTCTTAGCGCCGTGCTCGCGCGCAAACCTTGTAGCGGATCAGTTAACCGCAGCGGCATAATTTCCCGCACCTGCATCCTATCCCCACCTCCATTACCTTCGCCATTTCGCACTCGCATCTGCGGAGTCTCCGCTGGCTCCACCAGCGCCTTCGCATACTCCAGCCTCAACATGTTTCTTTGATCCGGGCGCCCATCCTCCGCGCCGTCGCGGCCAAAGCACATCATAAACACTGTTCTCAAGACGGCCGGCATCGACCGGTAAAATGCCGTTTGCGGTTGCAACTTGAACTGCTCCGGTAGCCGCGGAAGCAGTGGGTTTGCCACCTGCGTGCGCATCACGGGATAAGGTGGTAGGCGGAATCGCGGGTCCATGCTGGTTCAACTTGATGGGCGTGCATGCTGGTGTGTTCGAGGGAGGGATGCGAAGGTGGACAAGGGACGCCGGTATATAGGGGGATAAGGGCCGTTTGCTCTGCTCCAGGCCGTTTGTTTGGTGGTATGGGACGAAACATAAGACCCTCGTACGTTGTTCGTGGTCAATGGAGCCAGCAGGTTGGTGACTTCTTCTTGACCATTCAATACCGGTCCCCGGCGAATTGTGGAGATTGATAGGATCACTCGAGGACTTCAATCCGAGACTTAAAAGTTTTACGGAAGCATGCGGTGATCTTCGGGGCATTCGCACGCGCACCTGAATAAGATAATAGAAGAGGTGTTTGTACGATGTCACTTGACTGACACATCATGTCTACGTCACATGCCTCGCTGAAGGATGTAGACTGAAAGCCATCAAAGCCTCCGGCTATCGTTTACCTCGCCGGGACACTCTGGATCCCATGTATTGAACACATTGTATGGAGAACCATAGATTTGACTATTCTCGGACAACGCGACTCTTCGCCTGTTTCCCCACAACCACAGTACAGCACTCAAATAGTTCCCGTCCTCAAACTGCTGCTCCCCGTATCTCCCCTACCGGGCAATCCCTCCTCATCACCGGGCTCCTTATAATTCTTCCTCACACCCCTCGTCTGAATCCCCTTCTCCGCACCAGGCAGGATATTACTAGTATCGATAGCCTCCTTCTCATCGCGCCCTACACCCGATCAGCGTCAATCCCCAACATCTCCCACATCGGTCGATCACTTACTCAACTGCGCATCACTATTCGTCTCGCTGCCGGGCACAGCGTCGGCCCCCAGATCGGCGTCCTCGTCGGCGACCACCTGCGGACCACCTGTCTTCCGCTGGTCGCCGCCGGCATAGCTCCGGTCGCTCTTGACCTCGTCGCCGGCGTACTCGTCGTTTTCGGCCTCGTAGGCGTCTTCGGCTGCGCGCTCGCGGGGGTTCGACATGTTTCTTGTACTGCGGGTGAGGTTGTGGATGGATGGATGAACGGGTGCTTTACGAGGTGCACTGATGAGAGCTGAAGAGGTGTTTGATGTTTGTTGCGAAGAAAGAGGATTTTTAGAGAGCTCTTATATCGAGCCAGATCAATGGCCGCGTGAGAACGAGTGATGACGTCGTGACGTCAGCAGCTACGGAGAAGTGACGGAGGAGGCTGACGATCAACACCGCGGTACATGGACGACGTCGTGTGTTGCAGCTGAGCAGCCTTCTCCATGCCAATTAAATTGTGGGGCGGATGCCACGGCGTGGAGGTAGTGGAGATCTATATACGGCTAGAATCATCGTGACGTTAGGTGGCTCCGGGCTGCGTTGGGAAGAACCGCACGTTTTCGCCGGTCCAATCGATGGGATTTCCCAAGATCTTTGTAACTTCTCAGTACCGTACCGGTATTGTACTGAGTACAACGATCGGCTGGCTAAATTTCACGAGCGTACGCAGCGATTGAGATGAATCCATCACCTTTTACATGATAGGTTAGAACAGACTAGCGACACCGCAGGAGCAACTATTCTAGCGTGTTCCGTTGGAAGAAGACCCGCGGATCCATCTGTATTCGAAATCTTTGAGGCGTTCGCGCGGCTCGGACCGTAGACGAAACTGCGGGAGCTCTGTGGAATGCTGGAGGTGGTCTCAACAACTAGCTCAAAAAGCCGGGCTGTCGGCTCCTTTACGTGGCAAGCTGGCCGGTTGTTTCGACGTCCGAATAGCTAGTCGGGCTTTCTTATTGACCCGTAGCGATCCGTTGTACTCCGCCGGGCCGACTGGCAGTTGATATTGGCCCCAGAGACATCGCCCGATCCCTCGCCACCCAGACCCTTCCGGAGGCCCAACCATATGAATTCACCCCGGAGTTTCACTCTACAGCGTCCCAATTGGAGATCAAGAAATAGTTACCATGATACTAAAGGTGGACGCCGTAACACGACCGGCCCTCCAAGATTTAATGGATTCTGGACACATTCGGGCCTGCCTTCGATCGATCGAACCAGAATCAGTGAGAGACCCAAATACCTGCCTCCCAACTGATCATTCAGCTCCAGCTCATTATCGAGCTTTTTTTCTTTCTCAAATTTACATTCCCGATCGATCCCTTCGTACTCTCGGATCAGAGCGTTCCAAGACCATACCGGTACTCTAAACCTCCGTTTCGCCTAGCCCAGTGGATTTCCGCCGGGAGATGTTCCGCGCTACCGCACGAACCAGAGACTGCGCGAGATCGGTTCGCAGCTCCGATCTCCGGGGCCCGGAATTAGTTATCACTTGAAAGATTGTACTTCCGGGGTGATTCGGAGCAGCGTATGTACGAGTATACATAGCATAGTACAGCACATTGGAGCGCGCGCGGCCAGTCATTGCTATCGAGTCTATCCGCTTCCAATCCTACGGAAATACCGGTATGTGCATAGGTGCTGAATCACGTCCCCGTGTCCTGTCAGATCAAATACCGGTAGCTCCACGTTGTTGCAACGACCAGTACCCACCATCCTGCAGTTGAGCCGCCGACGTCATACCCGAGTCCTTGGCCATTGTTTACTGTCTCCCAACACCCCCTCTCTTCAGCATTTCCCCACGTTTGCTCATTCACTATTTCTCTCTCTACAATCCCTCGGTCCCAATGGCGACGCGGGCCACTCTTTCACGCTCGATATGTTCGAAACCCCTACAAAACGGCCTTGTGCGCTTCACGGGCGTCCCGGCACGTCACTCGCAGATAAGCATCCCACGCGACACACAGCAAACCTTAAAGCCGCTGCGTCTTCTTCTTCATGGCCGGAGTGCGCTTTCCTTCCGCCCGCAGTCAAGATGCTTTTCGGTATTTTCCGCGCGGCGCGGCGAGTTCGGCCCCGTTACTGGCGGGGAAAAGAGTGAGAAGGAACGGCTCAAGGAAGAGGAGGGGAAGCAGGAGGCGGAAGCGGAGTTGACCGGGAAGAATAGCGTGGAAAGTTTGGCAAGAGCGCAGTCGGTCTCGTGGCATAGAGATAGTGATAATAAGCCACCGTCTTATCAGCACCGCGATCTTATCTTGCCCGGGCGTCGCGGTATGTCGTCGCATTGTCGTTGCGGAGGGAGTTGGTGCTGATGCGATATATCTACAGGAGAGCTTGTTTCCACGCCCTCCCGGCTCCTGAAGATCCTACTCCCACTGCGCCCACAGAACACGGATCCCACATCGTCGGCAACAGACGAGCCATTGGCCCTGCTGATCCATCCGAGCCAACCACTATCGTACATGGAACGCTTGATCCAAGCCGAAATCCCACCTCTCGAGAAGAGCGGCATAACCCGCCCTCCGGACATCACCTTTCGGGCGTACAATCCCGACGCCAGCGACGACGCGCAAATGGTGCGATGGTCCGCGGCCACGGAAGTCGGCGACTTCGTGCGCGACGCCAGCAAGCGCAAGGAATTCGTGATCGAGATCGAGAGCGGCGAGCAGATCAGCGTCAAGGTTCCGTCGTTCCGCGACCGGACGCGGTATTTGCGGCAGCGGCTGCGCGCGGTTTCCGGAGAGATCCGGCGGTACAGCGATCTGAAGGAGGAGTGCGATAGACTTGCTCATCGGGGCGCGCAGCATGTCGCCATGGCAGGGTTTGGAGGACTGATTACGTGGTGGGGCGCTGTCTGGTTCGCGACGTTTTATACTTCGTGGGGTTGGGAGGTCATGGAGCCGGTTACGTATTTGGCCGGGCTCACTACGGTCATCTCGGGTTACTTGTGGTTCCTGTATCACAATCGAGAGGTCAGCTACCGCAGCGTGCTGCACATCACGGTCAGCAAGCGGCAGATGAAGCTGTACGCGCAAAAGGGATTCGACATTGAGCGGTGGGAGGACCTGGTGGATCAGGGGAAGGCGCTGAGGAAGGAGATCAAAGCCGTAGCTTCGGAGTACGATGTCGAGTGGGACGAGTCGAAGGACGAGCTTGGTGACGAGGGCGTGAAGAAGGTGCTGCAGGATGACAGCGAAAAGAAGAAGAAAGACAGGGACGATGATGATGAAGATAGTCTCAGTAGACGGGATTAGACGTGTTGGGGTTGAGTGTTCTCTGGTTTATGTTTTGTTGCCGTAGATACCTGTTTTGACTGGCGAAATGAATCAATCTGTACCTAAAGCATGTCTTGAGCATCGTCTGTATTTGCTTTCTACCTACCCAGTCAGCTAATACCATGACAGTAGCGTGTTCGGAGTTATGTGTCTAGTGGGATAACCTACATGTGAAAGCCAAGTGAGCTCCTGTCAAACAACACGGGTGTCGCGGCGAGAGCTATATCAGCGTCCGGGGCCGACGGTTCGATTTCGCGCGCGCATTGCTGGGTTCCGCCAAGTGCCCGTATCCGGCCTCCACTTTACGCGTCGATACTCGAACTCTATCCTGTAGTTTACTCTAATCTGTCGGCACGATTATTTATCATCACATCACACAGGCTCCCAAGCTCCCAGCCTCCGAGCATCCCGGCCCGAGGCAGTAGTCTGACATCGATCAGAAGATCACAGCCGTGGATTCTGTATGGCTGGGACCAGGATCACGTGAGTCCGGCCGAGGCCGAGGCACCTGCCATTCGTTCACATGCTTGCGTGACGTTTCACCAGGCCGATCACACATGCGCCGGCGGCGGCGCTCATTGCCAGCCTCACCACGACTTGTCCTTAAGACCTGCTCTTGCCCCCCCCCAGCTTGCAGAAAGTTTTTTATCGCTTCATCTCACCTTGAATCGACTCGATTACTTGCTTCATTCTTAACTAGAACTCTCGAAATACTCGAAATACATGATGTCTAGCGGTAAGTGCTGACTGGGCGATGGACTCGATGAGGGCTAGACGGCCACTGACTCGCTGCTCTTAGCCACCGCCCGCCTCTCCAACCTGACCTCGCAGCTCTCAGGCAGCACACCACGCGACCGGCTACTCCAGAAGAACCCCGATGACGTACGTTTTCCCCCCCACCAGTATACGCGCGTGCGTACTAACACCCCCCAGATCGTGGTGACCTGCACGCTGCGCACGGCTTTGACCAAGGGCGGCCGTGGCGGGTTCAAGGACACGCAAGCGGCGGACCTGCTCACGGGCGTGTTCAAGGGGATAATCCAAAAATCGGGGATCGACCCCGCGGTGGTCGAGGACATCAGCGTGGGCAACGTGCTTGCCCCCGGCGCCGGCGCGACAGAGTTCCGTGCTGCCGCGCTTGTCGCCGGGTTCCCTGTGTCGACTGCCGTGAAGACGACGAATCGCCAGTGCTCGTCCGGGCTGCAGGCGTGTGTGGATATTGCGGGGGCGATTATGGCGGGGGTTATTGACGTGGGCATCGGCGCCGGCGTCGAGAGCATGAGCAATAACTACGGCCCCAACGCGGTGTCGGAGTTCTCTGAGCTGCTGAACGGCGTGCAGCTGGCAAAGGATTGTAAAGTGCCGATGGGCGTGCTGTCGGAGAAGATGGCGAAGGACCGGGGCGTGGCGCGGAAGGACCAGGACGCGTTTGCGGCCGCGAGCTATCAGAAGGCCGAGGCGGCGCAGAAGGCCGGGCTGTTCAACGACGAGATCTGGCCGCTCGAGGTCGACTTTGAGGACCCCAAGACCGGCGAGAAGTCCCGCATCACCGTCGCGAAGGATGATGGCGTGCGACCTGGCATGACCGCTGAGGCGCTCGGAAAGATCCGCCCCGCGTTCGCGAAGGACGGCTCGATCCATGCTGGCAACGCGTCGCAGATCTCGGACGGCGCCGCCGCCGTGCTCCTGATGAAGCGCTCCACCGCAGAAAAGCTCGGACAGAAGATCGTCGGCAAGTTTGTGACGGCGGCTGTCGCCGGTGTCGAGCCCCTGCTCATGGGTATCGGCCCCTGGGCCTCCATCCCAAAGGTCTTCGAGAAGACCGGAATCAGCAAGGACGACGTCGACATCTTCGAGATCAACGAGGCGTTTGCGTCGCAGTGTCTGTGGTGCGCTAACGAGCTCGGCCTCGACCAGAAGAAGATCAACCCCAAGGGCGGTGCCATCGCCTTCGGTCACCCGTTGGGGTGCACGGGCGCCCGGCAGGTCAGCACATTGTTGACGGAGCTGAAGCGCACCGGGGGGAAGATTGGGCTCACCAGTATGTGCATCGGCACGGGAATGGGAATGGCGGCGCTGTGGGTTGCCGAGTACTAGGGCGGAGCGGAGAGGTGCTGTTTCGTTGCTTGCTTGTATGATAGTTGCGCGTGCTTCTTGCTAGTCGTTTTGTGCAATATTGGAACCGGGATTTTATGTTCTCTTCTAGCCATCGTGAGACGGTATGCCTCGGTCTTGGAGGCAACTTGTGGTACGTGTCCGGCGGAGACATGGTATCACCGACGTCCACCGTTTTATGTGAAGACATCACGGCTGTAATTGCGAGGCCGCCCGTTCGCCAAGTACAAATACATGGACACATGGGAGAATACCGAGGAGTCCATACGGAACCGTACCCGTCACCACTCCTTCCCGAGTCCCCATCTCCACCAGAGGAGAGGGCACTCGTAAATCGTAATCTCGGTTGGTATTCCAGTACCTCTCCAATGCCCATTCAAAGTTCAAACATATGATATATCCCTTCCCTTATGTACCATTCCATCCAGGTGCGATAGTTACCGTACCGTGCTCACACCAAGCCTGACGGGATATTTCACAGCCAAAACCCCTTCAGGCTTCAGGCTTCTAGAATACTTCCCGGATAAATTAGTCCCATCCTCCCCGTCCACCCCGTCCACCCACTACTCTATGTTAGGAATATATACTCTATATACCTGAATACATCCGCCGAAGACCCGAAACGAACAAAACCCGTTCCTAGCGCCCTATGTACCTGCCCACATACCTAGGTAGTTAACCTGGGCTGGGGCTGGGACCGGGGCTGGCTGGGCTGGGACCGGGGCTGGCTGGGCCGGGGAAAGGAAGAATGCGGGGGGAAACTTGGGGAAGCATTGGGGACTGGGGGACTGGGGGTGGGGGATGGGGGGACCGACTCCCGAGTAGGTGTGGGTGTAGGGAAAAATTCGAATGGGAAATGGAAGGACAAGAAATAATTGAAGGGAGCGGGGGGGGAGGGGAAGGGGGAGGGGGATGGGAAGCCTCGGTCCGATCCGGCTCTTTTGCCCATGCTATCCCTACACTGTATATTGTACTGTAGATACACTGTAGATACAGTGCGTAGGTAAGTAGAGTATGTACGAGTACACAGGTAAAGTAGAGTAGAGTAGGTAGAGTATATAGTCTCAACTTCAAGGAAAGCCCGGAAACAAAATGTGTACCTACATCCCGTAGTTTCCTCACATTTACCTGCTGCGGCGGCGACGGCATCGTCGGAAGTGCGAGTGCGAGTGGGAGCTGGGAGCTCATCCCCAGAGATGGATGAGCTACGAGGATGGGATGGCCACACGATGCACACACGATGGCCCCGCACACGATGGCCCCGCACACGATGGCCACACGATGAGCCCGCAGCGCCCAGCAGAGCACAGCAGAGTAGCGCAGCGCAGAGCCGAACCGAACTCAGCAGAGCAAATCTGAACTGAGCTTCAAGCTCGCTCGCTCTCCACCTAGCACCCACCGCACCCACCCCATACTTACCTACAGAAAACCACAGGCAGTACCCCATGATATGTACGATCGTCGCCCAAAGCCGTCACCTGCATGTCCGCGCATGTCCGACCATGCCCAAGCACGCCCCAGCCTGTCGAAGCATGTCCACGATGGGCCGTATGCATCGCTCCGCATCCAAACAGTGCACACGGACGATTTTACCCGTGACCCCCTCTCCCCGCTACTGGCGGGTACATGGCAAACCGGTAGCATAGGTAGCATAGGTGGGATAGCATAGCAGAGCAAACGCCATCCCCCGTGCCCTCCCGGACCCTCCTGTCCTGCCCTCCTGTTTCCCCCGACGGCCCGCTCCCCCACTTCCCCCTCAACGCCCGTTTCCCCCCTCGACACCCACACCACACCCCACACCTCGGCTGCCACCACGGCTGCCAAGTCTATCCAAGTCTTCACAAGCCTTACAAGGCTGCCCCAGGCTGCGGCTCCGCACCCACCCACCCCCAGTGCCCACCCACACCCATACCCACACACGCACCAAAACCCATCGCCCACCCACGCACCCCTGCTAGCCAGAGTACCGAGCACACCACAACGCACCATGTCGCGCCACGCCACGCCCCTGAGCGAGTCGCGACATCCATCCATCGACACCCACACGCACATCCCGGCCCCCACGCGCGCCGCCGCGGCGACGAGTTGTGTGGTGGGCGCGGTGGAGGGTGGTAGGGTGGGAGAGGTGACGTCATGGGGGGGCGGGAAGTTCCGTCTAGGTACTCGATGGGCGGTGGGAGGAGGAGGACTGTAGGATTAACTGTAACTATAAATGCTCGATGGACGGCTGTGTAGACTGCTCGTTGCTCGTCTGGCGAAAAGTATGTCGGAGACGGGGCGGGGTAGGGTTGGGCGGCGGTGGTGGATGGACGGTCGAGGGTGGACCTCGGTGGACGGCTTGTTACATCGTCGTCGCCGACTCGGCCACCCGCAGTGCGCCGGCAACTCTACAGCTGCGAAGTTTGAGCTTTGTGCGAGCTCACACTTCAGCTTCAGCTTTAGTTGAGCTTCGGCTCGCAAGTCTCGCTCCCCGATCACTTCACTTCTCTTCTATTCTCCGCGTCGAGTCGAGAGGACCTTCATACGAGCAGTGCTGAGCAGTGCAGTGCGTGCTCGAGCAGTACCAGTACCAGTACCAGTACCGGTATTTTTGGTGCATTGCACGGAGTCACTTCGGAGTGTACTCTATTTTACTCTACTCTAGAGTCTACCCCGCTGTTCTTTCTTCTTCTTCTTCTTCTTCTTCTTCTTCTTCGAAGAGTCCATTCACGTAGGCTCAAACTCTCAAGTCCTTGTTTGAACTTTGAAGCACGACCACCACATCCACCCGGTTCCATCCATTCATCTTGATCGATCAGACTCCGTCTTATTGTTTGTATGTAATATGTACCCGTTATCCCCCCGCAATATCAGCTCTGTACAACCACCTCACCAACCAGTGAACATGGTAATCCCAAACCCCCCCTACAAACAAATCCCCACAAAACCACAAAAGAAAAATCCTCATGATGCATAGTATGTTCCACCTCGTCCCTCCCCTTCCCAACCGATCGACAAACAAAAAGACATGAACTCCAGTGATCCAAACACAACCCAGTGCAGACCGAACGCCTTCCTCCACAAACCAAAGAGCCTCCTACCAGCATATACACAAGACGCCAGGAGCTGAAAACATCGTGATACGCCTTCCAAAACAGTACATGATCCGTATCCCAAAGCAGATAACCCAACAAGATGAAGGAGAAGAAGCCGTAACCCGAAAGAGTGATATCACAAAGAGAAGACGGTAGAGAAGATGTGTCGGAATCCCAATGGCAAGGACAAGTAGGGTTGGCGAACCCATGAAGGAAACAACCGGTGGTAAGAAAACCCAAAAGCAAAGAAAACAAAGTTTGGTACAGAAATAGCAATTATTAAGAAAAGAAGTATGAAAAAAAGAAAAAAAAGAAGGAAAAAAAGAAGAAGAAAAGGAAGAAAGATCCCAACACCAGGAAACAAAACTCCACCGACCGAAACATTGCACCAAGATATGACCAAGCCCAAAGGAGACCCATACAAAAGGAAAACCCAAAGAAAATGGTTGGGAGACAGGCGACAACGCTCATTCGTTCCTCGAGAAATAGTCGCTGCTCTCGTAAGTCGCCTGGAGGAGGTCGACTCTTCGCTGGCCGGGCTTCTTGTGCAGGCGCTGGCGACGGTGCTCGCCCCGAATGGTACCCTTCTTAAAGTTGACGTGCAAGAAGAACTTGTCGACCATCGGTCGGTCTTCCTTCCTGTCCAGGGCGCGGCGCAGGACCGGCTTCAGTTGTTCGCGAGCCTTGCGCGAATCGTACGTGAACTCCTTGCTCACGTACTTGTGCAGGAAGATCTGCTCCGCCGACTGCTCCATGGCCGCCTTGTACTCGGCGACATTGGCGGGGAAGGTGGTGGCCGGCATGGCTCCACGGACGGGATGGGACGCGTGGGGGTGGGCCTTGGCGTAAACGCCCGGGGAACCACTGGTGGTGCTCGACGAGTTGGTGGTCGGGCCGGAAATGTAGCCCGAGTCGGCTCGGTGCTCGTGGGGCGTCGGCGGCTCAGGAGTGACGAGATCCACAAAGTTCCAGTTGGTAGGAATGAGCGAGCCAGAAGTAGACGCCGCAAGCTGATCCTTGTTCGTATTCGAACGACGTCCCAAAAGGGAGCTGTTGCTGACAGAGGGACGGAAACGGAATTCGGTATTCGGCGTTCTGCTCTGCAAATGCTTATGGAACTCCCTCAGGTTGTCCTGGGGGATGTAGACGACCTTGCGTTTCGCGGGAGGATTGTGCATCGTGTCGTTGTGTGTTGGTACTCGAGTAGGGGTGGTGGTGTGAATTTGTTCTTGTCGTTTCTGCTGCTGCTTCTGCTGCTGCTGTATCTGATGTTGTATCTGCTGTATCTGCTGTAGCTGTTGCGGCTCTATTCTCATCCCTTGGGGAAGAGTGGTGTGCGTGTGGTGACAACGTGTGTCGAGGTTGAGTAACCGTCGGCAGGTACGGTTTCAGGAGAAGTTGATCGGGTGTTCGGTTGATGAGATCGAGGGACGGGTAGATGCGCGGGATGCTAATGTGTGTCGAGAGACGAAGGAGGGCAGATCGGTGTTACTTGTAGTCGAAGCAGGAGCTGCAGTGGGAGAGAAAAAGGTTCAGTAATGGGTTGTTTGGAGGGGAAGGGTGTGTGGGTGAGTGGGAGTGAGTGTGTGGGTGCGTTGGGAATGGGTGGGGTGAGGTGAGGTGGATGCGGTAGGACTGCAGCACTGGGGGGGAGGGAGGAGGGGGGTTGTTCAGCGCTGGGTGGGTTCAAACTCACCCTTTTTTTTGCTTGACAACGGAGAGGATGAGATGGCCGAGAGTGACGCTATGAATTCTAGGTAGTTGGATGGAATTCGGGTTCGTTGTCGCTGTTTCGGAGGAGGGGGGTCAAGATATTTGGGTGCGGTAAGGATGCACGGAGGAGGAGAAGTAGGAGGAGGAGGAGGAGGCGGAATATCAGAGTGAGAAGTCAAGGAAGCTGAGCAAGTTGAGCAAGTTGAGGAAGTTCAGGAAGTTGAAGAAGTTCGTGGTTGGTGACGGAGTAGAAGTTGAAGAGGGTTGGTTGTCGGAGAAGTTGTTCTGGTAGAAGAGAAGTGGGACGGGGTGGAGGGAAAGTCGAAGTGTCAGGTGGTAGCCGTCGTGGGAATTGTGGTAGTTCGTTCGTGTGGTGGTGGTGGGGAGGGGGGGTTCGTGGTTTGGCAGGGCAAGCAACTCGGGGGAGCATGAGACTAGCCGCACAGGGTGGTGGGCTTAGTAAGTGGGATTTCTGCAGTGGTGCTGATACTTACTCTGCGATGCAGCGCGGTTTTTAGAGTACATGAGGCCGTGCGTACAGCATGTACCGTTCACGCCGCCTCGCCAAAGAGGCAAAGCGACGATTGGCGCAGCAAAGGCACATTGCAACCAAGTGAATGGGTAAGTGAGAAGGTATTCAAGTGAGTAAGTGAGCATGTACGTGGTCGGGCGAGTACGGTCACGATGGATGAGTGGCAGCATCAGACGAGACGAGACGGGCGGGCGGCTTGTCTTGGTGCGTTCTGTGGGCCAGTGCCTCTCGCTCGCTCGCTGGCTCGCTGGCTCGGGCGCTCTCACGGGTTTTTTCTGCGGCATCTCCGGTGTTCGTGAATAAATTAACTGCCAATTAACCTCCATGCCCGTCTACAAATATGTACTCATGCGGGCAGGGGTTGGTTCTTCAGTTTGCGGTTCGACACCCGTCGGCACAACGAGAGCCAGGATCTGCAGTGACACTCAGACACAGCGAGAGAGGGAGAGAGGGAGAGAGACGGAGAGAAGAGAGAGACGGAGAGAAAGAGAGAGAGACGGAGCGAGAAGGACGGACAGGCAGACAGGCGGACAGGTGGACAGGTGGGCAGACGAATGGACAGGCGGGCCGATGGGCGTACCAATAGCGAGAGAGAGATGGACCGACAGTGAGTGGCATGGACCGACCGTCAGCAAGAGACATAGCCCGACCGACCGACAGCGAGACATGGACCGACAGACATTGACCGACAGACACAGACAGCGAGAGAGACATAGGACCTCAGTTACCCACCCTGCCTTGCCTTACCCACCCTGCCTTGCCTTGCCCGGTCTGCGGAGAAGAAGAATCCAGCACCGACAAAAAGGAAAGGAACCTGATGGCAGGCGGAAGGCTCGCTTGACCGCACCCCTTCCAATTCAATTCACTGCCGACTCTCCGTTTCCCTCCAGATCCAAGTAGAGCAGAGGAGAGAGTCATAGCTGCTCTAGAGCTCCTTGCGGTGGCCAGCCAGCATCAGCAGCATCATCACCATCATCATCACCATCATCGCCGTCAGGAACCCACCTCTCACCGGTCAGCGAGCCTCCTCTCCCCCCCGAACTCGAACGCAATCGCCCACTAATCCGCCAATCACCAGCGACTAATCGCGCCTCGCTCAAATCATTCCCTACATACGTGCTGCTGCCGATGTGCTCGTGCTCTTCGATGCACCTTTGACACCTCTCCTACATAACCACTTCTCCTAGCTGGCCGCTCTCTGCCTACCCGACTTTTTAGAGTGGCCTTGAGACTCGACCTAGTCTACACCGCACGCATCTCCCACGACGCCACTGCAGCAGCCGCAGGGTGAGGTAACCGCGCAGAAAACTCCGTGATGGCCCCCAAAACCAGCGACACCGAAAGAAAGAAAAAAGAAAAAGAGTAGCAAGCCACCTCAGAGGGAGGGGACGGCCGGGGACGAGGATGAGGAGGGCTCGACCGAAACGTTGTTCGCCGGGTGCAGCAGGCCAGGCAGGGAAGAAGAACAACCGCTCTGGAGTCTGTCTCGCCGCGCCAAAAAAAGAGGGCTGAATCCCTATGCCCCCTCCACCCCCCCCCTCCTAGAACGGGATTCCTTTCTTTGCTGGCCCAATCACCCGCGACTGTGGGGTACATAACTAAAACCCGCGTTTTTTTTCTCTTTCTTTCTTTCTTCTCGTTCGCCCTCGCTCCTACCAGCGCACGCAGGTGTTCGTCTGGCGCGCTGCTCGCTCGCTCGCTCGTCCTCATGCCGTACATACATGTAACATGTGTTGTGGTTTGTCCAGCAGCCAGACAAGCAAGACATCGCACATCCACCCAACGACCCGTTCGCAAGCAAGCAGCTCCCAGCCTCTCACGAGCTGTGACAGCTCCCAGCTCTCGCTCTCGCTCCGTGTTGCCGCTCGCCTTGCTCTGCTCTGCTTTGCTCTGCTTTGCTCTACTTGCCTGCCTTGCCTGCCTGACGAAGAAAAAATAGCTTGGGACGATGCAGGTACATGCAGCACACCCTTCACGGCCGAACCGACCGACACACGGTGCGGACGGACGGTGCGGCCAGACCATTTGCGCTGTGTAGTGGGCTCGTACTCTATTTTGTATGTCTGTACAGTACGCTACATACTCTACAGACTCGGTGCCCACCAAACACCTGCACAGTGCTGTGCCTATGGGAATGGATGGATTCTCGCGCTCGCAATGCAGCTCCTCGGCAAACACTCTCCTCTGCCGTATTTATCTATCATTTATCCTCAATCTATGATAGTAGATGATGAATAAACATCGCAGCGAAAGAAAGAAAGAAGAAAAAATCAATTGATTTTTTAAAAAAACACTCTCGGCGTGGACGTCGATCGATGAGGGTGGGTGGGTGAGATCAAGGGACCACCCAACCAACCGCTCGCTGTCCCGCCCTCCGTCTCGTTTCATTCCTGGCCTGGCCTGCCAGGCCTGTCTGCCACCTCGAAATCTCAACCCAGAACTTTCCTCGATCTTCCCGCAAACAATGCCACGTATCGCTGGCTGCCCGGCCGGCCATCTCAGCCTACATACACACACATACAACATCATACATGCTGCCGTAGTTACTGCCAGCTCGTCCTCTTCCCTTTATGTATGTAGACGCCACTTCGAACTTTTGTTTTTCTTGGGCGAGCTTTCAGGGTTTAATGTTTTTAAAACAAAAATCCTCTTCGGGAGGCTTTCAAACGCTCCCCCCTCCACCATACCAAGTTGACTTATGTACCAGGCTGGTGACCAGGCGTACCACCCCCCCCTTCTCCCCTCTGGGCCCCAACGGTGGGGGATGGGCTCACTCTGGATCTACCGTAGGTACTCTAGATACTCTAGACAGCTACTCTAGATACATCTCCCTCCTCCTAATTCCCGAGCACGAAACAAAAATTACTCTACGCACCTACTTTCTTCTTTCATGACGTGACGAGCATAAATAAAACCAGCTTAAAAATCCTTCCATCTTCCGTCTTGCTTCCATCCTGCTTCCATCTCGTCGCTTCCAGTAAGCAACCAAACAAGCGGCGGCGGCGAGCATAATGTAAGCTTACATACGAATGAACGAGCCATCCCTGCGCCCCCGATCAGATCCGAGCTTTCCCGAGCTCGAGCTGGGTTTAACTTGAAAGTTGAACTTGAGGAACTTGGAGGCTTAAGTGGGATGGAGCGAATGGAAAGTTGGAAGTTGAATGTTGGAAGGGTGGCTTGCTTGCGGCTGAGTGGTGACTACTTGGTTGGGTTGCATGAATTGCCGGAATCGGTCCGATCATTGGGGTCACGGTGAGTCATGATGCGCCACTCGGTATCCTACAATCTACTGTAAGGTGGCAGTGCAGTGCATGACACATTGACAAGTTTAAGCTCCTGGTGACTGCCACTTGCCATTCACACTACACAGGTACCAGAAACTAAGACACATGTGATTGCAATTTGCGAGCCTCTTTGGCAGCTTGGCTCCTGGTGGCTATTCTTGGAACCGTGGTGGTTTCAGAATCGGTAGCGTTCTAAGTTCCATGGAATTTCATTTCTACTACCTGCGGCAACAACAATGGCATTGGCGATGACAATGACACAGGTATGCAATGATAATGGCTACTCCCACAGCAAGCAAGCGATTTCACTATCCGAGCCTTCGCCGACACATCTTCACCAAGACAGCAGTCCGGTCCTGTCCTGCGTCCCCGCGTGCGGCACCGCTGCTCTTCGAATATACCCTACGACACCCTCACCGCTTCCACTCCACCCACCCACTACTTAAGCCTTCCCGCCGAACTTGGTGGTACCCCGGTGGTAAGAGCGAAGCCCGAGCTTCAACGGGCCTCGAACGCAAATCGTGGCTACCTATCTCCGGACGCTCGTAGACGGCCTACTGGTATCGTACTTTGGATACATTGCAAGTACCTAAGCGAAGCTGGATGTTCAGCTACAGGTGGACGGAACAGATCGTTCGTCGGAATACCGAGACTGGCGAGACGGGCGAGACAACTCCGCGAACTCCACGCCCAGCTCCCTTCCAGCTCTAGGCAGGGAGGGAGAGGAGGATTGTATGGTGGATTGGATGAACTGACGATTAGCTATAGACCTATGGTTCGTGGTACATGTAAGGGAGGGCGATCCGAAAAGTAAAGTTGAGACGACGTCCCCCCCGCCATACGAGAACGTGCTCATGGTCGGGACGCGGTATCGAATGACACAAGGACCTGTTCCTAAAGCAACCAGCGAGAAGGCGCACAGAACCCCCGCTGGACCGTGGCCTGGGGATGATTGGTTAACTATGATAGCAGCGCTCATTGTAGCCTTCCCTCCTGCGTAGACATCGACGCTTCTTCGGCTTTCTTGGCCCTCAACCACATATGACATATCCTTCCGAGCCCCGCGTTCTAGTTGGTGGCAGACGCAGTAAAGTGTAGATTCACGTTTTCTCCCACTCCTTTCGATTTGCCTACTCTGCTCGTTGGGATATCCTGGACTCAGCAGACCAGGGCGAATGAAGGCACCACTTCGACCTGCGTCCTAGGTAAGTATTCACGATGAAAGCGGTTACTATGTACTGCAGTATATTACAGTCTTCCAGGCGAGGCGAGACGATCTTTAGCTACCCACAGTAACGCTGAGCAAGCGCTTAGTTTATCGCGACGACAGCAAAGGGCGATAGTGCGTCACAGTTGCCGCAGAAGCACAGCGGAGAAGAATGAGTGCGCAGTCGTTGGTTCACGCGCTTCTCAAAATCTCTTGTAGAGCCGATTGCGGCATACCTATACGGTATAGGTATACCCGACGAGACCTGAGAACCTACAGCCCCCACCACTACTCCCAGTCCGTCCCTGAAATCGTGCTCACCTCCCCGTCCCAGAAGCCCAGAAGCCCAGCGCCCACACCTCTACTCTCTTCTAAAGCGGGCTGTGCGAATGTGCTGGCCAGGCTCCGATTCCCGGGTTCTGCATGCCTGCGTGTCTGCGTGCGTAGGTATGAAGTAGGTACGGTATGTACCCGTGTACCTGCACCTGCACCGTAGTCGGTCGTGTAGGTAGTCAGTTGTGTAGTCATTCGTGCATACCTACCTCATACCTACCTACCTCGTACTCAAATCCCAGATCCCGGATCTCATCGTGACTCGTGACGACAGATATTGCAGGTATTGCAGGTTTTTCAGGTTTTTCAGGTTTTTCAGGAAGGTATTGCAGACATGTGGAGTGCAGTTATGGGAAGCGCCGTGCTGCGCCTCACGAGTCAGCCCGCGCAGCCACGCTGAAGTGAGGCTGGACCACCCCTCCCCCAGGGCCTAAACGGGAGACGAGAGAAGAGAGATGAGAGAATGGAGAATGGATGTATTCCATGCGGAGTCCATGCCAGGCATTTTTTCTTTCTTTTCTCGCTGTGGCTGTGGCTGTTATTGAAATGAAGTGGCGCGGCGAGTGAGAGCTTGAGACGTGGCTGGACATGGACATAGACATAGTAGGTCACTCGGAATCGAGCGCGCGGAGCATGTTGTGAACTGTGAATAGCGACTGAATGGATGAATTACAGTGTGTGTGTGTATTATGTCTAGAGAAGGGGGGCTGTACATAGCCACAAGTGTAGGAAAGGGGCGAAGGCCCGTGTCTTTCCACGATGACTGAGTATCGAGTGAGATATTACAACAGAGCAGATAGACGGACAGACAAAGCAGCTGATGGGAGTTGGGTATCGGGCACGGTGCAAAGCTTGGAATGTGATTTTTCATCCGGTACATACATACATGCAGCATTGCTGGTTTCAAATTTCCACATTACGGACGATTAGGCGTGGAGTGTTTCAAGCCCGTACTTTGGTACTGGTATGTTTTGTTTCGGTTACTCTACTCTACTCTACTCTATGAATGTCTTTGTCGGTGTCCTCTAGATCGAACTGTGAAATCTACACGCCCAACCCCCTCCCCTCCTTCAGCCTCAGCCCCCACACGGCACCAGTAGCAGCGACTGTCGCTAGCCCCCAAAATACGCCGCCGATGCCCATCCCGCCACTGCCCTCGAGTCCGACGGCAAACAGCCACGCGCCCATCACAGGCCCTACGGCTCTCCCGGCACTCGCCAGGCTGCTTCCGATGCCGTGGACAGTGCCGAGCACGCCCTCCTCCTCGACACTATTGGTCAGCAATATCACGCTGCCAGGGAGCGCAAACGTTCGCGCGGCTACTTGCATCCCGAGGATCCCCATGATGCCGGCCCACATGACCGTAGAGCCCGGGCTGAGGAACGACAGGAACGGGGTGAGCATGTATGCTACCGGGAAGAGGCAGCAGCCGAGCTGGAACGAGCGGAGGAGGCCAAAGTGTGCTTGCAGCGGCGGGTACAGGAGGAGCTGGAAGGCGATTCCGACGGCGCCGAGGATCGATAGCGCGAGGCCTACGGACTGCGCAGAGAGCGAGAGCCCGCCGTGCAGAGGTGTGCCGTGCGGCGCTGAGAGTAACAGTGGGTACAGGTTCATGAACGTGCTGTTGTGCAGCGGCAGGAGCATAAACGAAAATAACGTCTTGATTATGTTGGGAGTCAGGATTTTGCGCGGTGGGGACGGCGGCGGTGGTGTGGCTGGCTTGGCGATGAGGGGCGAGGTCTCATCTGTTTGATCCCCGCGTAGACGATGGAATTGACGCGATAGGAAGGATTGTACGTCGCGACTGAGGCTGCGATGCTTCTTGCTTTCCAGCGTCTGGTATCCATTAGCTCTCGTTCCGCTCCGATCATACGGATGGTACTTGGAATATGTACCTCGTCCAGGAACATCAGTCCCGCAATAAAGCTCCCCATCAAGAACATGGCGCTGACCACATTCGGCAGCGCCCACCTATGCCTGTGGCACCACTCCCAATTCCCAAAGACCTCCGGCCACGAGCTCGCCGGATCAGCGAGGACGCCGCCCAACGCGGGGCCAAGGATGATGCCTACGTTGAAGCACATAGGCATGATGAGGAACGCACGGCTCTGATGCCTCTTCTCGCGTATGGTCTCGCTCAGCATAGTCCTCAGCACGCCCACATTCCCGTTCAGACAGCCGGCCAGCACGCGGAACATCAGAGCGCTCTCAAACGTCTCCGAGAAGCCAAAGCCGAGGATCGAGAGCGCGCTGCCGAGCAGCCCGAGGAGAACACATGGCTTGCGTCCGATGTGGTCTGATAGCCGTCCCCATACCATCCCCGTGAGACATTGCGAAAGCGCGAATGAGGAGGCGAGGATTCCGGCGCGACGCGCGATGGTCGCCGCGGATGGAGGCGCCGTGCCCGGCGAGTGGAAGGACTCGATCAGGAAGTAGAGGTAGCTTAGCAGTGAGGTATTGGTGAGGGGCTCGCTCAGTCGACAGAGCGCGAGGACGAAGAGTTGGCGTTTGTGCGGGAGGGTGAGCCAGCTCGCTGGAGCTGGGATGGGGACTTGGGCGAGTTCATTGGATGACGCGGTGGTATAGTTGAGGTCCGAAGGAGAGGATGGCGAAGGCGATATCGATCGGGATCGCGATCGTTGCCGCGAGTGTAGGAGTGATTTTTTTGATTGGGGTGAAGCGGACATCATCAAGCATGGTAGTCTATACTTTAGTAGGTACAACACTGGCCGAAAACTATATCAACGACCGCCACGGCAACTCAGATAAAGAGAAGAAGAAGAGAGAGAGACCGAGCCGGTCTTCCGGATATCCGCCTCCGCCGTCTTATTTTCCTCGCTTCGCCATCAACACAGCATCCCCAGCGGCCCCAGTGTTACGTATGTACCACGGCTACTCGATACCGTACCGGTATCCCTGCGTAACCATGCAATGGCGTCGTAAGCTTGTGTCACCAGGACAAGCTTCACATATCACCATGACAGCTACCTAGTTCCCGGATATTCCCAGCCATTCCGAACATCCGACACCGTCGCCGCACCTACATACCCCGCCAACATGTCGTCCGACTCCCAGCTAGCCACACAGCTCTCCCTCGCGCCGCACCCCGAAGGCGGCTTCTTCCGCCGCATACACGAGAACCCGCGGACAGTGCCCAACCCGTTCCCGAACCCGGCCAACCCGGACGACACGGTCCGTCTGGCTTCCACGAGCATCCACTACCTTCTCACGCCCGCGTCGCCGATCGGTCACTTCCACCGCAACAAGGCGCTCACGTACCACCTGCACCATCGCGGCAGAGGCAGGTATCGGCTGATCCATGAGGACGGCCGCGTAGAGGAGTATGTGGTCGGCCCCGATGTCGAGAAGGGAGAGAAGATCATGTGGGTCGTTGAGGGCGGCGTGTGGAAGTCTTCCGCGCTTGAGCCGTTGGAAGATGGCGGTGACGGTGAGGGGCTGTTGATCAGCGAGGTGGTCGTGCCCGGATTCGACCTGAGGGATCATGAGTTTCTGGTTTGGAGTAGGCTTGTTGGGCTGGTCGGGGAGGAGAAGGCGGCGGAGTGGAGACACTTTCTGAAGGAGGGAAACCGCGGGGAATAGACGCGATTGGCAATCTTCTCTCTCCGAAGTCCTTAGTCGGTGTGACATCGTTGCTACTGATGCTGAGCGTGAGTGAAATGGGACGCGAAACTTGAAAGCCACTGCCCTGATATCAGTTTTGCTACATACTCTTCAAATAGCTATCCCCGCTTCTCCATCGATTTGAGATGTTTGGTTTACTCATTCATCGCATGTGACCTATCTAGATCATGGCAATATACACACTCACACTCCGTTTCCGTGTCCACTGTTCAATCCAACTTTCGTCAAGTAGCAGCCCGATGTGGCTTCCCCTACCCTCCGCCCTGGCCTGTCCCCAGCGACACAAGTACTCGTAGAGTGCACCCAGGAAATGATACTGGAAAGAGACAGATTCCCTTCCATGTTTACCCCGTCTCGCCCCCTGCCTCTTGATCAGGAGAAGCCAAGAAGGAGGGAGTGGGGGAGGAACAACGGAAGCGACCCTAGGTAGTTCCTCAACTTCCTCAACCTCCTCTTCGGGTGCCTTCCTTCCCACTCCCCGAGCTCCCACTCGGATATAGCAGGTACCTCGCTTGCTGCATCGTCCGCACCGACCCCGAGAAACCATTGAATCGAGACGGATTCGCATTCGTATCCGGTTTGAAAATAGAAATTACCGAGTGAGAAGCGGTGCTTACACATCCCCGCCACATACGGTAATCCGACAGCTACTGTTGCTACGTTGCTGTTCTAGCTCGGCAATTGCAACGTTACTAGTACTCTCATCGTTGGAGACTTGGAGTAGGAAGGTAAAAGTCAAAGTTTATTGGCTACTCGTGAATGGCGTGTAGAGGCCGGTTCCAGACGCCGGTGTCTTCTCCTGTCGAGATTCGACCGGAGTTCTGGTTCTGGGACAACAGGTGTTGCCCAAAGAAGTCTGTAAACGGCACTCGCTGGTTCATAGAAACTTAATGTACAGATTCAATGGCTCGGTTGAGCGCGGGTGAGATCACACGGTTTCACGGAATGGCGTGGTAATTCATCGTTACAATGTGAATTGACAGAAAGTGGACGTGATTCGGGTTCCCGACCATCACAAAGAAGCAACAAGCAAACAAGCGAAGAATCAAGCGAAGAAGCAATCAGAGAGGAAAATTAAAGTCCTTGAGCACAAGTATTCACCGATGGCTACTTCCTTCCGACGGGTTCAAGCAAATAGGGTAACAACTTCCGCTTTTCGTCAATGCACCAAAAACGCCGCCAAGTAGGCAAGCAAATGGTAGTACCCTTCTATGTACTAGGTTATCAACAAACTCCCGGCGCGCACAGCTCAGGCAGAAGGTCCGTCCCATGCCTCGCGAGTCAACCTCATCAATGCCGACTGCTTGTGCGGAAAAGTCACCTCCCTCTCCTTGGCGAAACCTTCTTGCTGGAGATAGCCGATAAATCTACATCGAAAGTGTGTCAGTTATCCACCCGCACATATCGCGTCATCCGGAAGACTCACCTGGCATTGTCGACTCGCGGTTCCAAGCTTAGCCTCATCGTCCTCGGATCGTCGCAGAAGCAGTAATGGCAGAGCCCCCCCAGCCATCCCCTGACCCTCTGCGCGCCCCGGAACTTCTGCTCTCCGACAAGCACGTGTAACCCCCTCTCCCAGTCCTGTGCTTCGCAGAGCTGGCCCAGGCGATCCTCTTTTACCCAATAGATCTCGAAGTATCCGAATGGCTCCTCGACACCACCCTCCATCACCCGTCCATCCCTGACGACGACTTCCTCCCAGCTCCCAATCACGGGGAACGAATGCCGTTTCTCCAGATTCTGCCTTAAGAAATCCGCCGTTTTCGCGATCGGCCCGGACTCGCCCCAGAAGGCCGATACACGCGGGGTATTCATCCACTTGTTGACCAGGGGGGCATCGTCTAGCCGCGCAAGCCGGAACGTCAGCACCGCGTTCAAGCTCGGCACGTGGCGTCTATACAGGAGGCGCGCGGGACGCGGGCGTATCGGGTGGCGCACGCCAAACGCCGAGATGGTGTATACAACGGGGCTGGGTAACTTCATGAACGGATACGAGATCTGCCAGAAGGCGCGCTTGACGGCGCGGGGGTAGCAGCGACCCGTCGGGAATGGAGCTATCAAACAGCAGGATCAAGCCCGCCTGCTCGGCGGCGGCCAGGGCTTCCTCGCGTGCGAACAGCCCGACGCGGTCGAGGTTCACTGACCACTCCTTCCGCGGCGCGCCCGGGATCGCCGGCGGGTTCGTCGGCGTCGGCAGGTGGAAGTACCAGTTCAGCGTCGCGTACAGGACAAACACCGGGTCCGGGTGCGGGGCGCCGTCCGACGTCATCGCGTCGGTGATGGTGAGCATGTCGGTAGTGAGCGAGGGCGGACTCGCGAACGACGAGCTGAGGTTCACGGTCCATTTGCTGTAGTTCTGGCGCGTCGGCGGGTGTAGGTGCGAAAAAAAGGTCCTGCCCGTGATGTTGGGAACCGGCGACACCGTCGAGATTTGGCTGCTGTCCGAGAGAAAGAGCGTGTTAAGGGCCATCGTGTAGGACGTGGAGCGAATATCTCCCCCGAGTGGACTGCGTGTTGATCGCTGACGACGACGTGCGCAGGGGAATTGAGTATCTACCGAATAAGAGAACGGTAAGGATCCAGAACCGAGGAGGGGACCATCCGTTTGTGTCACGTGACAGCTGGACGGCCTTGGAAGGATTGGAAAATTTAATGCGAGCGCTGAACGTGTCGCATGAAGTGATAATGCACATCAGCTAGGCGGCAGGGACAGAGATTTGTGGGGAGGGTACATAGCCGAACCCTTCCATCTTCTACAGACCTCTAGAGTAACTATGGGTTTTCAAAATGTTCAAATGACGGATCCCAATTTATTTGGCGAAAGATTTATTCTTATTTTGAGTTTTTTGCCTTCCAATAAGCATAAGTACGTACCGGGAAACAAACGTGTCTCGAAGTTTGGACGTTGATAGGCTCCATCTTTGCGCATCTGGAAAGGTTTCAGATCGGTGGCCAGTCAGTTGACCGAGCACTCACCCTTACCGTATCCATGGCGACTCATCTCGCTTTTGAGGGGCCCATCATGATGAGCTTGAATTGCAGTTCTGGCTGCATCTCCATCGCAATGGCTAATGATTCATTCGCCGGGTTGATATGTATGTACAAAAGTAAGTGCCTATGGCCATCTGCACGACGGGGACAAATCCCATGGCCAGTGGCCGACCGGAAACAGAGTGCTAGGCAGTTGGCCCGGCATAGTCACCATTCGTTGTGGCAAATCCCGAGGCACCGGTCCAAGTCCGGACGGGCATCGTTGTCGGCGTGGCGTGACTCGGGGCCAACGATAGGTAGAAGGTACGGTAAGGCATACTTGGCTATAGAGTAGGTATAGTATGTACCGGTATCGCTGGCAGACAGCAGCAGAATTTAGACCTCGTACGTACACCGGATGAATCGTGTTCGGATACGTAACGTTGGCCGAGAGGTTGAGGGCCGTGGGCCAGTGGTTACCTATTGAGGGCGCAAAGGAAAAGGCGGCTTGGCGTCATCGGTGAGCACCGGAGAGAGGAGACCTTGTTGAGACCTGGTGGGACTAGAGTAGATGCAGGCCCGATGCGGTCGTTGGACGTTGAATTATTGCTGTTGCGACTATTTCTGTTCTTCCTGTCCGTTGGTCGGTCATCATCAGACACTCACCTTGTACATCACCATCACCATGATCATCGACCGAGAATTCTAGCTCAATTGATCACGTTTTTGTTCCTCACCTGTTTTTGGGTCTCTCACTATCCATTGTAAGTGGATTATCCGCGGTTCCGCCCTCGGGTCTCTCAATATCTATTGTATGTAAGTGGAATATCAGCAATTTCACCCTCAAGTCTTCGAGTATGGACATATGTACTTACATACTACAAGCAGTACATGGACTCCCCCTCCGCTGCACCATCACGTCATGCTGGTGGTTGTGGTGGTGGTGTCATCACGCAAATCCCGTGCAATATACTCTAGTAGACTCCGATGTCCGCTGAGTGGACGTCCACTTTAACTTTGCCTGGTGGGGAGGCCTGTACGTACATACTTCATTCCTACATTCTCCGTTCTTATCGCGAAATCTCTTCAAGCCGGGCATCGAAGGCGGTATACAGGACCCAGGTGTGATAGGTACATGCACGCTATGCGCACGATGACAGAGTTGATGTCCTCGGCTCTCCCTCACAGGCCCGCCCCCATCGAGATATCCGATTTTTCGTCGTTCACGAGCTGAGCGCGCGGAAATCCAACGACCGCGGGGCGCACTGTGGCACATCTGTCCGTTCGACGCATTAACTAACTATCGCACCGGATGCACAGTGCAACCCACATCGTACCGGGACATGTACGAAGATACTGCATCTGGCATTCCAACGCTTCGACTGCCAATCCAAAGAACGGACGAACATCCAGGAATATCCAACGCAGCAGGCCCCAGCAGAGCAGCCAGTTGGAGGGGTGCGGCAGACCCGACCCTCAGGAACCGCAGAACCTTGGCATCAGCACGAGACCTACCTGCCTAGCACCTACATACCCCTCTCGATCACCACCCCACCTACAAACGAAACTCAGGGTCCAGATAACCAGGAAAGTACCCAAGTATGTAATCTATCCATCTACATACACCAAAAGCACGTACATGATTCCTCACCTTGCCGGGGTCTGTTTGCTGACACGAAGAGCAACCGTAGCCGCGCCATGCCATGACACACCCACCCACTCCTTCGTGAGGGGAAAAGCGAGTGGAAGCGTGGTTCGCCAGCGGAAGAGGAAAAAAAGAGAAGCTCTAGAGTGGAGTCGAGACGTGGGGCTCAGTTGCTATGATAAGTCTGGAGCAATCTCGAACACACAGCGTACGGTCCTCTAGGCCGCATCAGGACTTGCGTACTGAAACCCGTACGTCATTGAGCAGCTCACCGCCAGAACAGCGCCTTCACGACGTTTCCAACCACCCAGAAATCTCGGCCTTCGACCACCCCGCACACCGACGAATATCCCCACGGTTTCTTGTATTTCTCTGCGCTAGAGTTGCGTTGTTCCCCTCACCCCCTCCGTCGTGAGATCCGCTCGCCTGAAGCTGGCGGTCGTGACACGTGTTTTGCAACCACGCCAAAGGGCTTCCGGCAACACATCCTCAGGAACAGCTGGCAGTCGGTGCGAATCAGCCTGTGTGTGGTCCGGATGACACTCGTTCGAAAGGGAAGCCAGCACGATGCGATGGCGTGCCGGTAATGGAGATGGAGGGTCATCGAGACGATGTATTGAGGGAGCTTTCCCTCTACCGTGGACCTGGAGCTGTCGGCCCTGCCGGCAGTCCGCTTTGGTGATCGACGAACTGCCGCCGCCGCGTGTCAGTAATAGCAGAGTTAGCGGATGGATATTCATTCGGTGCTATCGTAGTCTGGTTGACTGCCGTGGCAGCTGGCTGTGAATAAAGAGGCTGGTGCAGCCACCATGTTTTGAAGGGGGTGTGTATAATACGGATAGGCTTTCGCCGCCGCCGACCACGAATGCTCCCCTACGCCGAACACTGTTGGGGCGGGGCCTATTTCGTTTCGAAACTACCTCCGACTGGTGAAGCACCCATCATGTTGCGATGTATGTACCTACATACTCCTTGTGTCCGACGGTGCGGGGTAGATGAATAGTTTAACCCCCCACCAGGACGCCGCGAATTCCCACCCCTCCAAGGTCTCTCACGGCGGTCCTACTCCGGAGTGGTGCACCCGGGAAACCTCCAGCCCAAACATCCGTTCCGACTTTGTGGGATAACTTCTGGACCTAATTTCGGTCGCAGGTTCGTTCGACGATCTGCGTATCGAGCCAGCCTTCTGCTCATGCCATCTAAGCCTATCTGCACACCCAGGGCTCGGGACCGGGCTTTGGATACTGTTTCTTTTTCTTTTTTTTTCCTGATGGTAGGCCTTGCCATCTCTGGGCTCTGGGCTCTGGGCTCTGGGCTCTGGGCTCTGGGCTCTGGGCTCTGGGCTCTGGGCTCTGGGCTCTGGGCTCTGGGCTCTGGGCTCTGGGCTCTGGGCTCTGGGCTCTGGGCTCTGGGCTCTGGGCCTCGCCATAGGACCTCACCCTCCATGCCACTCCGGTGTTTTCTTTAAGGGCCCTATGGCCCTGGAATCTCGAATTGTTGCATCCGTCTCCACACCAGCTTACTGCAGATCGCCTTTTGTTTGGACTTCCGGTATCCCTTTAAGAATATGACCGTTTAACATCCACCCATCCCTTCAGATTCTCAGATCTTTCGATTCGCTACCTCGTGTGGTAGTCGCCGCCTGGAGATATTTGCGGCACGGTTTGGTCGACGATGGACCGAGTTTTGTGTGTACGGCTTCGGTCAGCGTCGGTACGAAACATCCGCCATGGTCAACATACTACTGGACGAGTATCCGTTTCCTCCTTGTACATACGTACATACGAGACGTCTCCATCTCGGGTGACAACTGCAGAAAACCCTTGGTCAAGATCCCATACATTCGTGCATATATCCATCCGCGCGCAAAGTCTTTCGAGCAAGGGCGAAATTCAGATTCATCGATTCGAAGGGCGAGTTTTGAAGGGAACTCTTCGCGAGGAAGCGTGTTTGGCACCAATTTTCCCGTTGGGTCTGGAGTAATTCTACCTGTTGCACATTGAGGAGCTCTCATACTTTTACGAATATTCAACGAAGTCATGTCCTGTCTGCCAACTGGTCCCATCGCCCTCATTGGCCTGTTGAACCCCCCGGGCCCCAATACAGATCCTGCTAGCAGCAACGACGAACTTCACAACCGCGATTGGACCTTCCTCTAAAGGGGAAACGACAAATTCCTCACAACCGCAGCACAGCAACCCTTCCTTCTTAGCATACCAGATAAGTCCATACTGGGGTCTGGGTCACCGCGCACGGACTTGATGTTCTCGCCTCTCCTCATCCATTCGATTCTCAGATTTGTGGAATGATCTTCTGCCCACCGCAACATGTTCTGATGAAGAGCTGCTGACGCTTGGACAACTCTTCAGCACATGCTGTTGTCGTGAACTGCTCTGGCGCCTGCGATGACCTATTCGGGATGGCACTGGGTATAGTGCAGAAGTCCGTGTTCAACACCAACACCAACACCAACACCACCACCACCACCACCATCATCATTAGCACGGCTAATATTGCCTGTCGACTTGCTGAATGGTAGTGGCGCAACCAAGAGGTAAGGGCAAAGGTGTTTTTTTTTCTTCGCGCAACCACGCGCATACAGATGCGTGGGTGCTTTCGATATCCCCCCCTCCCGCGCAGGCAGCTGAGGTCGTGAGTCTGTCTTCGTTGTTGAAGAGGGGTACCTATACTTGCCCCGCTGTGCAAACCGCTATCAATGGCAAAAAAGAAAGCACCACGCCTGCACCGTATGAAGGCTCGGCTGTACGGACCGGAAGGAAAACGCCGAACCGGCTCTCCAAATCCGAACATTCACTCGAAGAGATTGTGTCCCGATCCGCGGGTTGCAAGTATGTACATGGGAATTCTTACCCCGCTCGACAAAGACTTCAAACCTCCGTCTCGGCCTCGAAATTCCTCTAGGCAGCACCTGCAATGCTTCGTCCTTACATTAGTCGTACATATGTACCGGTTACGTGCATGCTGCTGCTGCTTTCCTTTCGAATTGCAGTCCTGCAGACCACAGGGAAGTAGTTATCCATCACACCACGGGACCAGGCCGCATGCGCCCTTTGGTTGTCTCACTTCCGTTTGCAACTCTCCCGGCGATGCACGATGGTAGGGCAGTTCTGCGTTGTCCACCTTCACTCGTCGATCTATCAGCCTACCAAGATAGCGTGCAGTGACGCATGCAAGCTAGACGCGGTCTTCATGAAACAATTTGTAGGTAACTCTTTTTTTCCCCACTTGATCCAGTTCTCTGATAGGTATATTGCTGGTTTCGATAAGTCAGCACTAACGGGCGATCGTAGCGATTCTCTGGCTGTCACTGGATCGGATTCCATACACTTCTCGTGCTCGCTTCTTCACCTGGAGTTGGTTATTGCAGGCCTAACATAGCCGATATGATTCAAATCCAGGCTGTCGGCGAGGCTGTGGGGCGGCAGAGACGGCCGTCGGAATCGGATCGTCAACCTCACAGGCAGAGAACGCCCACAATCGGCATATCACGTATGATATATCGATACGGAAATCTTGCCCCGGTACTCCGTCACAGCACAGCATGGCTTCCCATCGTCTATCTATTGTCGTCGTCGGATACGGCGATACTACGCTGCAGCATTAAGTTTCACTACTGCTGTGGGGACTATGCGCGATGATGTACCACAGTGGCCGGGGTGCAACTGCTGTCTTGTCCTGACAGCGCAGGTTTTCTGAGGAATGACTGCAGCATCGCTGTTCCCTTGTCCGTTACGTGTTGCAGTATGAGCCGTGGATTCTTTCTGGAACGCTCCTGTGAACGCTGTTATCGGGACACAAGGATATTCGCACCATTGATTCTACAATTGGCTGGAAATGGTGCAATATCCAATCGAAACATGTTTGGACATGCAGTTGCGATCCTAAACACCCCGTCCCGGCTTGGTCTACGCTCGGAGCCCAGAGTCTGAATACGAGGGTATCTTGAGGTCTGCGGTCAGTTTTGCAGTCCTACTGTTCAGTGTTCGGTCCGAAAGGTCGTGGGCTTCTCGGGATCCCCTCAACTCTGCGCTACAGCTGTTATCTTTCCATTGAGCGGGCCACATCGTATCTTCATCTTTCCCAATCAAGGATTCCGGCAACTGATCATGCGGGATATCTTCTTCCGGGAACTACGACAGAACTAAAGGTGCAAGTCGGGTTTTCCAATTATTGCAGCTGCAGCCTCTCTTTGCCCCCCTCGTTCTATCGTTTCCGGGGAGTCTGGACCGGCTGGCTATCCTCGGAGGGGGAGGGGGGGGCTTTTGAGATGTGATTGGCGTTCCCTTCTCTTCTGTCCACCCAGTGCGCGTCGCGGCCACTGTCCATCATTTACCAGGCTCGGCACCCAGCTCAGGCGGATTGTCGGCAGGCATTCAACCTTAGCGACCAGTTCCAGTCGCAAGACGTCTCCGAACCCAAGGCTCTAGGTGGTATTGATAAAGGGAGATGCTTATTGGAATTTGTCCTACTACCTTCTCAGGGCTAGCAAGAAGCTGTTGGCAGTATCAGAGCGAACTCAGAAATGCCCGTTTCACACACTGGGACCTATTGGCAGTCGCTGCTACAAGGTTTGTTTCTCCACGTTGTACAATCTCCATCATCAGCCGAACTGCGTTATGTATCCGCCATGCATTACGGATTGAATCTGGGCCTGAGTTTGGCAAATTGGCATCCTTTCTGACACGTCCTTCCCAGTCGTATGCACCACCCAGTGGTTATCAGCACCCGTGTATGAAGTATTCGAGCACAACGGCGGCAACATCGCATTGGACCCATACCCCCCCGGTCTGGCGGGTGGACGTACGGCACCGACCGCCACACAGTGCTTGTACTCGTGCATCGTGAACGTCGGTGGCCGCGACTTCGAGACGGCATACGTCTACAGAGCCGAGGAAAATGCCAAGGAACGGGCAGCAAAGAAAGCATACGAAGCCCTGAGCATTTAGACCACGGTTGCTTTTCCGTTGGACCGTTCGGATGTGAGAGGGTCTCGCACGCGTTCCGACTACGGCTTTGCGGATTACCGGTTACGTCCACGGCTGTGAACGACTACATATCATACCTAGTATGCAAGGGCATGCAGCCACACGTGCAGCAGTCGGTTGCTGAGGACTTGTGGTGGCGGTTCTGGTATGTACTGGACAGGAGGTCGTGTGGGTCTAGATACTTATCGTTTTCCTGCTTTTTCCTTTATTTCTACACTTTGTTTTTTTTCTACGGAACGGCTCACTCTATCCTTTTTCTTTTCTCTACGCCGTCCTTCAATTGGTCGGCTTCTTCTCGTTAGTCTGCTGTCGGCTTCCGCTTCAAATTGTGGTCCCTTCGGTGCAGTTACATGTGAATCTGGGTATCGTGGGGAACCCGCCCGCTGGCGAACACGGTAATAGCTAGGCAAGAGACGTGCAAATTTGTTTTTCTCTCTCGGGACAATTCCACTCCACTTGGACTGGAAAGCGGAGGGGGGGAAGGCCGTTGTCATAGTAGAGATACTCTAATTTCTACGCCACCCACCCACCGCCATGCATGTGGGGGATCTCTAGTATCTACACACACTCCTGTCGATCTTCTCGGTCATATCATAGGTACCTACTCTAGCCCAGCTTCTCTCTCGCGCTCTGCTCCCGACGGCAACGCTAAGTCCGGGTTCTGCTGTATCGGACCCGGAAAGGCAAATGCGTCGTGAGGCAGGTTCAGGTTCAGTTCCATCTGCGTGCATTTCCTAGACGCTTTTATGCGGGAACCTACCCTAGATTACGCAGTGTAGCGCCCCACTAGGTGGTGACCGCATCAGCCGAGGCACGGTTCGTTCCCAGGAACGGGCTGCGTCATTCGTCGTCCATGCATTCGTTCTTTTTTTCTGCTTGCTGCGACTCTGCGAGCGCATATCTATTGTAGGTATCATACACACATACACACATCCTACATACTTTACTTCTTACTTACCAAGTATGTACGGTATCTATTTCGCATGGCGAGCATGGCGGCGAGGGCATAGCATGCACCCATCTAATTCGTCAGAACCTCTCTTTTGTTTCGTATGTACTCTAGCTCCCTTCCCTTCCTCTCGTGTCCTGCACTGCCAACGGCGCTCGACGAATCATGGACCGATGGACACAAATATACCCTACCTAATTACCAGCTGTCACAATCCACTGCCCCAGCTAGACCGCATCGGCAACGTACACCTCAGCCTTCCTGCAGGAGCCTCCCGAGCAGCACACGAACCGTTCGGACGAATCTCCTTCGTTCACGTATGTGGGCCCTGGGGGCGAGGGGGTTCCTGGCGAGAGATGGAATGGAAAGGAAAGGAAAGGCGGGTGCCCGACCCACCGACCTCCGACCACCAACCAGACGAATCGCCATCCTGGCCGCTGGCCGCTGGATATGTGGCCTGGACGAAGGATGGGAGTGAGCGATGAGCGAGCGAGTAGCGGCCGAGGAAACATCGAGGGCATATTGGTATCCATTGGGGGAGGGGGGATTGTCTGACAACAAGTCAATAACACCAACAACACCACCACCACCAACTACAACAACAAAGACGACGACAACAACGAAGGAGTGGAATGTTTCGTCTCGCAAGGATCTCGGCGGAAACCAATTGCTGGGCTGCAAACTTCTTCAAACTACTCCACGTCGATGATGCAGATCCGCTCGTGGGTTCGCATGCGAGTTGGTGTCCCAGGGGTTTTCTCCGACTCGTCAGCGGCGCCCCCCCCCCTCCCCCCGTCGACCAGGAGGAAAGAACGAAAGGGCTAACTAACTAACCGCCATCGGTGCCAACTCATCAGTGCAGCCAAGGAGTCGTTTCTGCGTATATCATAACTTACTCCAGAAGATGGCTACGGTACGGTATGGAGATGAACGTGAAGGGGTCAACGGAGCCGTCTGTATCGTTTGCCCCCCGCCCTTCGGCGGCAAATCACCGTGCTGGCCTGGATCAGGATCGAAGCAGGAGAAGAAACGAACAAAGGAAAGCCCCCACGAGAAGTGGCGATGAGGTAGTAGTATCTGCTCACTCCGGTAGTCTCTCCCTCCTTACTTGCTTTGCTGCGCCAGTGCATCAGCAGCACGCCAAAAAGTGAACCGACTAAAGAAAAAAAAGTGTACATAACGTGCCCATGTGAGCTCTGCTGCTTCTTGCACGCACCGCAATATTTGGAATTCGAAAGTGCATGTACTCGTGGTACTCTACTATGTATGCTCTGCGTCTGGGGTTACCTCGCCACTAATGAAGTTGGGTTTCATTTCATCCCCACTCGAAACTATCTTTCCGTGCGTGTCTCTCCTCTAGCTAGATATATATCCTGCATCGTAATTCACGTTGCGGGGATGCATCATCTACTCTGCACCGTGCCTTCGCAGAAAGCTAGTCTTACTATATACACACATACACGAGTACAGCAGCCCTCTCGGATTCTTGCTCTAGAGTATGATGTACAATACATACTAACATATTATATGGTTGGGGATATCTAGTGCCGGGGTAAGTGGACATTCGGATCGGGGGGAATTAAAATCTAAATGCGGTAATATATTGGAATTTATTAAATTTATTTAATATGTTTTTTCACGCTCTATGGCCCCGCAGGGACCGAAAATCCCAATATCTCGGCCAGTTTTTACCCGTTTTCTTCGATCAAACACTCATCTGGACCCCACTGGTGCCCTCATTCCATCAGTACCATTTTTTCACCTGCCCGATGCTGTTGGCCAGGCGTCCGCTGCCAACTCCAGAGCTCCATGGCCCCGCCGGGACCGAAAATCACAATTTCTCCGCCAGTTCTTGCCCATTTTCCAAGGCGCAGATATACAAAGCTCATCAACAGGTTAGCGATAAGCTGGAATTGTAGCAAACTTTAGGTAATTGTTTTCCATTTATGTACTTAATATTCTTTGTCACAACAATTAGCCACCATATTGTGCTGCCAAGACGTCCCTATCGGGTAATCAAGCGTGCCAAGACCTCATAATCGGAAACTCAGCCGTGCTAAGACCGGGCTGTGGCAGCCTTGCCCCTGGACATTCCCGGGGCCTCCCCATGCAAAATCATTTTTCGTATATTTATTTTGGATTTTGGTTGCCACTCAACCACGCCCTTTAAAAAAAAAAGGGCCCTTTGAAAATTATCTCATTCCTCTTCTCTGTCGTTGTAAAGAGTTCTTTTTTTTAATTAGGTTGTTGCTGTGAACTAACCGAACGTCAAAAGTGGGAATGAAAACACTCCGGGTCTAGATGTCCCCAACCATAGCTCCAGAGTGGGTATGTAGCTCCAGATCCTCATCCCGGCAAGCCCTAGTGGGGAGGGCAGGGCAAGCTTGGACCACAGCCAGATCGTGTGTGTACCAGCAGTGCACGGACACTCGAACTGTCCGTGCAGCTAGCAGTATGTAGCAGTAGCAGTAGCAGTAGCAGTACCTAGCAGCAGCAGTAGTAGCTGTGGATGATCACCGACCGGCAATCGTTGCACCTTCTCGAACGATGCAAACGCACACATCAACACCTACTACTCAATCCTAGCTAAATTTGGGAGACCCAACTTTGCCATGCAAGGTCGACAGCTTTGTACTGTACATATGAGCATCATCAATTTTCCGTGGGCGGTTGTGGGTCGTGTACTATCGCTGACCAGTAATCTGCTAGTCTGCCGAAGCGGCCATGAGGGGACAAGGGAGAGAGAGAGGTAGATGGAGAGAGAGGGAGAAAGAGAGAAGGGGAGGTGTGTGCGTGAGGGTTTTTGTCCACACGTTCCGGATGATAGCTGCCTGTATACCTACATCCTATGTCAATCATCCAATGCAGCTCTCTGGAAAGAGATATGTTCCGTTTGCTCGTTCGTCTCTTCATCTCGACCGACCTGCCGGTTTCATGAATTATCATTGAAGCTGGGAGATGGTGCGATCTGGTCGGCCGGCAGGCAGTCGGTGGCGGGAGGGAATGGATTGATCATTGATGGCTTGGTTGATGGCTTGGTTGATGGCTTGATGGATGGATAGATGGATGTATGGATGGATGGATGTAGTCGAGAGGTCACGGCTGACTGGGGCGACGAGACAAATCATGAGAGGCAGTCGCATGTTGGATTATCGCCGCTCTCATTCGCGGCGTGGAGTCTGGGGGAAGGGTGCCACTACACCACGCCTACGCTAGAACGACCTTACTACCGACCAGACGATACGAGACCGGTATAGCTCATGGGCAAATCGGCGGCCACCATGCAGAAGCACAAGCGCACAGACTTCATGCCATGCTGGCTGGCTGGCTGGCTGGCTGGCTTCTCTCTGGGTCCATAGCTATCGATTACACCACACGGAGCTTCCTGGAGCCCGGATCGGCCTCCCCTCCTTTAGGACGTGTAGTGGGATGTGGGATGTAGGATGTGGGATACTCATACCACGTCTCAATCACTCACCCCCTCCCCGCACATGCCGCTCCGCAACCAAGGACGTTATATTCGACCTGTGGGGCACCATCTGCGACACTTTTCTCCAGTGCAGCTAGCTCCATCGTGCCTCCTCCTCGTCGTCCTCCACCTCCTCCGTACTCAGTCCAATCGAAGGATACTGGACTGGACTACAACTACTTCTTCCCACCCCGCCCTCGCATCTTTCCATCCAACACAATCCTGCCAGCAGTTCAATCTCACACACTCATCCTCAAAGCCGGCTTTCAAGTGCTTACCCATCCATACGCACACCCTCACACTCACACTCCCCCCACACACACATATACACAAACACACACACACATCTACCCGTCTATCCACCCATCCATCCCACCTTCCTCCAGATCAAAGCTTGCGTAGACGTCCGTCCGGTTCCCCCCAAGTGGCATTGCATCTTCAAGAAAAACCAGATCCGAGACCACCTCCATCGCCTCCGGCACGCAACATTGCATCTGGCCGATTCAATATCCGACCGCTCACCTTCCCCGTCCCTTGCATATCAGCATATCTACATATTCCACATTTCACCATGTACTACATTCTGTACCTCTCCAGTAAGCATTCCAGCCGTCCCACCCTTCCGTTCCCCCACTGACCGGATTAGGCCTTTGCCGTCGCCGCCGCTGGACTGATCCGCTGTACAAATGCATCTCGTACGACAACTGCGGGTACGCCTGCACGGTGTCGGTCAACCACCGCGAGTACGTGACCGAGAACACGTACGAGACCGAGGACCTGGCGAAGGAGGCCGCCGCCATGAAGGCATATCTCATCTGCCGCAACCTTAGCGTTTCCGAGGGACAGGGCGCCGTGCCCACGCATATTGTAGGCCAGGGCGTCGGTGTTTGGGCGGGGCGAAGTACCTGAACTGATCCGTGAACGTGGCGGTAGGTAGGTAGGTATGCGGAGTTGAGCTCGCGATGATGATGCGTTTGTTGATGTCGATGTTGATTGTTTGGACTTTGTGTGTGTGCGGGTCGGCGAGGACACGATTGGTCTGCGCCTTTTGGATATGTTCTTATTCCTACAGCCCTACCTGGCGAGGGCCATGCTGCTTTAGCTAGCTGTATGGCCATGAGCCGGTGGGAGCATGGGGCGTTTCTTGTACATGATTTTCCATTTTTTTCTTTCTTTCTTTCTTTCTTCCGATCGTTTTGAGGCTGTAGGTGCTATCCGCTCCTCGGGTTATGGACCGATCGACAGAAAAACGGGCCGCTCGTCTTCTTCCTCTTCTGATGGTTGTTTGTTTTTTTGTGGGCATGGTGCACGGGGTTTGGGAGTTTTCACATACGGACGGTCGCTTTGGCATTGGCAATATCTCTTCTTCTTATTCTTCATCTTCTTGTTTTTCTCGACGCTTATGTGTCTACCTACATATCGAATGATCAACGTTCACCGCATCGCCGGCGTAACCGTGGCCGTGGCCGTATGTAGTGGGGGAGGAAAACCGCCGTGCAGTTCCAATACCCCGAGTGAGAGCTCATGCATCGCAGCACGACGATTCACGAATCCATAACTAAGTATTAACAGCAAGCAGTTCATCCCAACTTCCCAGGGCCGCCCGGTCAGGTAGTCCCGGTTAGGTCTCCATCTTTTTTCTTTCTTTTTTCTCTTTCTCTTTTTGCGGTGGTGGTTGCTGGCGGGGGAAGGTGGGTGGTTGGTGAGTGCGAGTCGTCAGTGTCCGTGGTCCGTCGCCGTGAATGAGTTGGCCCAGGGACCGGGGGGGGCCAGGGGTTGGTGTGTTGGCGAAGTGCGGGGATCCTTTCATGCAAGGCCAAGTCGTGGCAGACTGCCGCGCTGGACGTGGACGCGATTTTCGGTAGATTGCTGGGTGCTGTGTGTGTGTGTGGGGGGGGGGGGGTGGGGGGTAGAGATCTGTTGAGAAAGAAGTGGGGCGAGGGAGGGAGGGGGAGGGGAAATGATATTCCGTTCCGAGGGACGGACGGACGGACGGACTTCGACCCGGGTTCTAGAGTAGAGTAGGTCGATGGGGTTTTGCCGCAGACGCGCGGCGTTTTACGGTGTCTCACTACTAGAGTATGTCGAGGCGCTTGGGTGGCGCAATTGGCCCGACGAGGAGCAGCGGGACATACCGGTACATATAAAAGGCGTCGACCGGACACGGCTCTGCTCCGTGCGGTCTCGAATCTCGAGTCTCGAGACCGCGTCGATGTACATATCATACCCAGCTGCGAGAAAACGCCGAATAATTGTCGGCTTCGACGGTGCGGGCGTCGGGCGACACCGCGGCGAGGCCGAGCGATTGTTCCGGACTTCGGTATGTTCCGGACGATTGATTGATTGATTGACTGATTGTTCATACAGCATGGAACCCGAAGGTTATGGCCGATAGAGATATCTACAATACAACATTTCGACAAAGAAATTCCACCACCAAATCCATACAGAAATGACAAGCCAAATCCCCTCGTCTCGCAATATTTTGAAAGTGAGCCTCCGAAGAGGCTCGGGTTGTCGGTTTTGCGCTGTAGCGGCGCTTCGTAGCCCTCCTCTTCTCCAAAAGATACCTCCACTCGGTACTACCCTCAACATAACTAGTCTAGCGCACACGGCATGGTGCTCGAAAGGAATCGTCGTCTCAGGGTTTGCGTAGCTGTCAAGGCCGGGGCCCGATGAATAGCAGCGAAGATATTTGGATCGAAGGCGGGACTGGCAAAATGCCGGTTGTCATGGTCGATGTTGTCCTGGGCCAAGCCCTGAGCTCTCCCCCTGGAGTTCACTCTCCTCCCCCGACTTTTCCTTACCCCCGAGTACAAAGGAGGGCGGCCGGATACACCGATTCATCCGATGCTCACGATAACTACACGATGTCGGACACGCCGCCCGTCGGATTGAAGCCGGGTCAGTACATAGGCGTTTAGTAATAAATGTATTCTCGCCTCCACAGCCGGTAGCATAAAGTGTGTTGTTGGAGATATACGATGGGAGAGAGTACCTATACGACATGATCATGATGAGATGAATTTCTTAGAGAAGAGAAAGGAGCTCAATATAAGATGGGGATATGGTGACAGCTATGGTGGTGCCAGGCCTGGAATGAGCCAGTCTAGGGTAGGCAGGCAGACGCGTGATAACTGATAGATAACTAATACGTGTCACGTGATACGACCGAGTGATATCTAACTAGTGCTCCCTCCATCACGCCAGAAATAAAAACAAAAACCATCACCACCCCCGGCGGGTGGCTTGGAAAACCCCAAGAGATGAGTCTTTCACCCAAACTTGAGCCCGGAGCTTTCCCTCAACTCCCCTCGCCAATTGCATGGCCTAGGTAGTAAACCACTAGACCACGCGGGGTTTTTTCCGTGCTGGAAACAGAAATTCGATGCCTATAAAGTGCACCACGCTGAGCCTGGGCGTGGGAGGAGGAGGAAGACAGTTTATATTGCAACAAGCTAAGCTGACAAATCCGACGTGTGTTCATCGCGAAACCGTGTCCCATAGTCATGTTCTTCCCGCCTACAAATCCCATGCCGTGATCCATCCCCCGCACTCACCGACGTTGATCCATCCCTCCCCATTCATTAAAACAAAACAAAAAACAAGCAAAGTGTACACAACTGCTACGATCTACCAGGTATTAAGGTCGTCTGCAATGATGACTGAAAATAAAAGTAATAAGAAAGAAATAGGTAAGTGTAAAAAGACACCCAGACCCCCCACCACAACAAATCAATCGTCATTCAAATTCTCTCTGATAGTACATATAACCTTTGTCCACGAAAATTCTATGCGCATGCGCACCACTTCCAGCGGCTATCAGTTTGCGCCGACGTAAAACTCTTTGTGGTCATCGTCGTCATCATCATCGTCGTCGTCGGCGTCCGCCTCGTCGTCGGCGTCGTTGGCGCCATCAGCGCCATCAGCGCCATTGGCGTCATTGGCGTCATTGGCGTCATTGGTTAAAATCGCAGACTCTCGATGGTCGTTGGTAATAGTCGCCCGGTTCGTCGAGTTTCCTCCGCTCTTCATACCGTCTATATCGACAGAGATTGATCTATACCTCTCGGCGTGGCGACAGAAGGCTTGCTTGTGACCACGTTCGCCACATCCGTAACAAACCCATGCTTTGACGATGGCCTTTCTCTGTCCGGGTGCCTCCGCCGAGCCCCAGAAAGTGGAGTTGAGTCGAGCTTCAGTGCCTCCACCGTGGCGACCAGAGGCCTCGAACGTAGCCAGATGAGTGATGATCGTGGCCGAAGACATCACCATAACATTCTGTTGAAGTGAAGCCTTAAAAGCTCGCCACGAAAAGGTCTTTGGCAAGTTCCACAGGAGGTAAAAGCTACGCCACCTATCCTCGACCTTGATGCCGCACATCGCCAAATGAAGGACAATCGCGTTCTGTGCGTTAATCCATTCGGCCACCGAGCGGTAGTTCTCCAGCTTACAGGTAGCCAGCCTCTGCATCTGGGTGAAACCATCCAACCTGGATTCGGCATTCCTGGCCATTGAATCGTCCTTGATGCAAGTCCACAACATCTTCGGATCGTTGTGGGCATCTTCCTGGTATCGCTGGCGGATAAAGGGCTCCATAGCCATGCAGATAGTTCCACAGGCCTGGCTGCATCTATTCTGGTAACGCTCCCATTCAGCGAGGAACAGTTCGTATCGCTGAAGGTACACCGGATCCATGGAGGCGGGAATGAAGGTGTATTTTGGATCGCCCATACTGGCCTGATTGACCTGGGTGTATCTCATGGCCGTCGGCACCGACGGCATGCGTTCGCTTCCTTCGACGATCCTCCAGAGTCCCTGCTGCTTGAGGTGGTCCATAATCACAAGGGCCCAGGTAACGTAGTTGACCCCGTTCAACTTCTCGAAGCAGTTCGGAAGGCTCGTCATAATTTTTTATTGTTATCAGGAATGCCGGATAGAAGGAAACGAGCCGGTGATATCTGTCAATGCAGGAGGCAATGTCGAATTTGGTAAAGGCTGTAAAGCGGTCGGTCAATTCAAACTCCTATTCGGTCTGGAAGGTGTCATATCAAACCTGGGGATGTTCTATTGGGCCTAGAAGGTATTGTATTGGGGTCTGGGAAGTGTTGCACGGAGTGTGGAGATGTTTTATTGGGCCTGGGAGGGGATTTATTTGGCCTGGGAGGTGTTGCACGGTTATGGGAGGTGATGTATTGGGTTGGGAGGTGATGAATTGGGCTTGAGAAATCTTGCACGGGGTGTGAGAGGTGTTGTATTGGATCTGGGAGATGTGGTATTAAGCGGGCGATAGGGAGTTTGTGTTAGACGATTCGAGGTGATGGAGGTGATGGAGGTGATGGAGATGATAGAGGTTTAGGAGAGAGAGAAACAGGAGGATTGGTATCCGATGTTTGTGTTGTTTGTTGTTTTAGTGTGTCCTACGTCGAATAGAACTTGGGGAAGAGAGAGCTGCAAGCTGCCCAAGGGAGGTACCCAAAGGAGCCGCAACCTCACAGATTCAAAGCCTTGCGTGCTGGACGCATATTGATATCATATCAGGGGATAAAAACCCCATATTTTGACCGTACTGATACCATATCACTACAATTTTCTGAAAGATACATTAGCACTACCAATTCTTTTACCCCACTGACTATACAGTAAGTATTTACACAGTCACCGAGTGAAATTTCTGTTTTAGTAGTGCGAATAAACTCATTTTATCTTCGACACTATGGGCACGGCTTTTGATCTAACCGTACACTCACTATGCAGCCACAAAGGCCATTATTGCATGGCAAGATGTAAGAGGCTCTAGAATGACAGGACGCAACCGAAAACATATCTCCTGTATCAAAATATAGTCTCTAGCCGCAGCCCACAATCCGGTATAAAGCCCTGCCAGGGTCAAAGGCGGCTCCGGGTGG